TTTAGCTCAACCCTCCCAACAAGACCACCTCATGCACCCCCATTCTAGCCACGTGGGTGCTCCTTGGCGACTTGGCATGGTACACAAGCCACACCAGTCTCAAGCCTTGGCCGCTCCCATTATGCAAATTTCACCCTTGGGAGACCCTGGGGCACACAGGGTGCCAGATGACCCCAGCTGAGAAACAATGGTGTACATAAGTGTCTTCTGAACTATCTTTAATGATGAAATGTTTAACACTGAAGTAGTCTTTAGAGGGTCAACGGGTTAAACTCAAGGTGTTGAACGAACAAAAGTTGCATTATGAGAAAAACTTATCTGGTAGAAAAGGACATGAGAGAATAAAACGGGAAAGTTTAAAAAAAAAAAATTCTAGATTGAAAATAGAAAACGACCTGAATGACTGATGGGTAAAAGGAAAAAACAGAAATGAGAACATAAATAATTTCAAACATCACAGGAAAAATGTCTAACAATACAACCTGCTAATAAACAATGTGTTCAGATTTAGGAAAAGTTTGGGAAATCAAGGGACCAGATTCATCAGTCCATCAGGTAGGGTGATTGCCTTGCACGTAGCCAACCCAAATTCGATCCCTGCACCCATAAAGTCCCCCAGGACTGTCAGGAGTGATCCCTGAATGCAGAGCCAGTATAAGTCCTGAACATTGCTGGGTGTGGCCCAGAACTAAAACAAAAAACAAACAAACAAAACAACCCATGAAGTTTGATCAAATGATAGGTACAATTAATTCAATATAGGAAACATTCAATAAATACATAGGGTAAAAATACACAGTACTCCAAAGTTAAAGAAGCTTCTTAGAAATTATAAATTTTATTGGCATTTAGTTTCTCTGATCTCCTTTTATGCTACTTATGTCTTTTGGCAAATTCATTTATTCACAGCATTTCCAACAAAGAGGTTTTCAGACATATTAAAAAGTAGAAAACAAGAAAAAAAATTAAATTCTAATTTTTGAGTAAAAAGAGTGAATCTTGTCATGATTTAGCTTCAGAAACATTTTGATAGAATTGTACTACATAGATTTAACAAGACAATATTCTAAACATAAATTCTAAATACCCCTCAAACTCACATTTGTATTTTGTAACAATAGCAAAACCAGACACTTAGAAACTAAAAAAAAAAAAACAAGAAAAGAGTTTTCAATTTGGTAAAAATGAACTGTGAGAGGCTGGAGGTATAACAGGTAAGGAATAGCTGACCCGGAATTAGTTCCTAGCAGCATTTGGTCACTGGCCCTGCCAGGAGAGATCCCTATACTGAGAGCCCAGAATAAGACCTGAGCACAGCCAAGTGCCCCCAAAATCCCTGCCACAAGAAAAGAAAAAACTGTCACAGGAAGAAATAAAGAAAATCCTATTGACTTTTGAATAATTACATAGTCATCACTCTTTTATCACTTGACACCTAATAAGTTTCAGTATTGGAAATTATATTTTTCATGTTTAATAAAAAAAGGTAATTTCATCCTCAATGTTTTGAATATACCCTTTTAAAAGTTAACAAAATTTTATTTCAAATGAATTTTTTAAAAATATCTGTGCTCAGCAGGTAGGGCGTTTGCCTTGCACGCGGCCAACCTGGGTTCAATTCCCAGCATCCCATATGGTTCCCCAGCACTACCAGGAGAAATTCCTGAATGCAGAGCCAAGAGTAATCCCTGAGCATTGCTGGGTGTGACCCAAAAAGCAAAAAAAAAAAAAAAATCTGTGCTCATTATCTACTTTTTTAAAACTCAGCTGTTTCAAAACAGTCAAACTGAAAAATTACAAAACAAAAATATTAAATAATTATATCAATTCTTTAGGATGTTTTGATTCTATTGCTTAGATTTTTTTCTTAGTATATTAAGAATTAATAATCTACTTTTATAACAAGATTAGTATTAATCTTTCTGCTTAAATTCCCTTTATTTGTAAATGACAAAACTTTCCAATTTTACACAAAAGGAAAGAAATACTCCTTTTAAAAAAATTTTTGGTTTGAGAGCCACATCTGGTGATGCTCAGGGGATAATCCTGGAGGTATTTCAGGGTACCACATACAGACCAGGGATTGAACCAGGCAGCAACACACAAGGAAAGTACCTAACTTCCTTGTATTATCTCACCAGCCCCCAAAAGTACTCCTGTGATTAAAAAAAAAAAAGTTAATTTATTAGAAATTTTCTGATAGGTTTTCTTAGTATTGGAGACAGGCTTTTTGGAGCACTAACCCAAGTAGTATTTTTCAGTCATCATAGCCCACCGAAGAGATTTTCTACACAGGAAGTACTGTGTCTGATTAACATGAGAGGCTCACTAGAAGTTTACTGTCAATTGTCTTCATTCTCTTTTCTTTGGAATTTGTCTAAGAGTGGATTTTGTTAGCCTGGACTGACCCAGATTGACCCAGATTCACCTGTTTCTGCTTTCAAAATCTGAATTTTTAGTAGCTAGTTATACTTTAATAATGTAATAGCCATTCTTATCATGCAAAGTATTTGCTATGTAGCAAACAGAACATCAAAAACAGAAATACTTCCACAAGAATAGCTAAACAAATTTATTGGCAAGTGCTTTTTAAACTGGGTAGAAAGATCCAAGAAAAATTACAAAACACATTGTACTCTGTAGCAATGACAGTCTGATATATGTTTATTAATACAAATATTTTATATATAATGCATTAAATTGGGAAAATAACAAACGTGACCTAATGTACTAGAAAATTCCCACTTTACATTAATGCTGTAAGAAAAGATGCTATCATTTGGGCAACAAATAAGTTTGCATATTTGTACACATACAGATATTCTCTCATTTCATTAGGTTTTTGAAAACTTACCTCATGAAACACATTATGTAACTTGATTTTCTGGCTTACAAAAGGCATCCTGTTTATTAGAAATCCAACTTGATTGCAACAACAACTTTAAAATAGTTGCCTTCTACTTTTCTATATTCATTTTTAGTTATTAAATTTCATAATGCAATTAGCCACTGATCTCATACTTTACCAACTATGAACTAATCCCCAATCTAACATTTGGGAAAATTATACAATATCAAACAATTCAATTTTCAAATATTTCCCAAGTTTTTGTACACTGTCAAATATTATCAAAACTAGCCTACACAAACAAAGGCTGAAAAGACAGCAGAAGAGTTACTGGCACTTGCAGTACATCCCACCAGACCCTGGTCTGAAATCCTGGCACTGCATATGATCCACTGAGCATGGGGAGACATCACTTCTGAGCACAGAGCCAGGGATAGCCCCTGAAGACCACAGGGTGTGGTCCAAAATACAAACCAAACAAACACAGAATCGAAGTATTAACTAATTCTCCCTTGGATTTCACAACAGAAAACCCTGCTCTTTAGCCTTAAAATAAGGTACTTTCGTTTGCAAATAAAATGTACTTTAAATATCTGATTTATGAATACTTAAAAGTAACATATGGCTAATAACTTTTTCTTCTTTTGGGACACATCAGCGATGCTCAGGGGTTACTCCTGGCTCTGCACTCAGGAATTGCTCCTGGCAGTGCTGAGGGGATCACATGGGATGCTGAGGATTGAACCCGGGATCTGCTGCGTGCGAGGAAAATGCCCTACCCGCTGGACTGCCGTCCTAACCCACTGTATTATTGCTCCCCCCTAATCATTTTTTTTAATATAACAACTTCGATATTTCCTTTAAGCTCCTTAAATGTAGATAATAAAAGCATTGAAACCTCTAAATTAAGAGACTATGCATAGTGCTATAGGCAGGCCAAAATGGGTTGCCCTTGAAATGAGCAAGTTCGTGAAACCAGGACAGGTAGTATTGGTCCTGGCCCAGTGCTACTTGGGGCACAATGCAGTCATCGTAAATGACACCAAGGATGGCACTGCAGACCAGCCTCACAGCAGAGCTCTGCTGGCTAGGAGTGACAGCTGCCAATGGGCAAAGAGAGAACTGCCTAAAGGTCAAAGATGAAGTTCTTTGTGGAAGTTTATAAACACAATTACCACACCCACAAGGGAATATCTGAACAAAACCCTCAAGGAGGCCTTCAGAGACCCACCCCACCACTCTTGAACATTCCCAAGGCCTGGCAAGAGGCTAAGATCAAGTTCCAGGAGATACAAGACCAAACTTTCTAAGGAAATTTTGTTCAACAAAAACTATCTTACTTGATATCACGCCCACACAGCAGAGCCTGGAAAGCTCCCCATGGGGTATTCAATATACCAGAAATAGTAACAACCAGTCTCACAATGGAGATGTAACTGGTGCCCACTCTAGCAAATCAATGAACAACGGGAGGACAGTGCTACAGTACTACAGTGCTACTCTCTGGCCTGAAAAATGGGAATTTTAGTAGGGCAAAATGTGTGCATACTGTGTACTCTCAAAGGGGCCCCCTGGGGCAGTGTCCTGGGGGAAAAAATCTGTGAATCCATGCTAATGACACAAAAACCTGTCTTTTCCTTCAGGCCAGGTAAACTCCCTCTGTGTGCATGAAAAATATTTTAGTTTTTAGAACTCTGGGCCTCTCACAACTGTCAATAAAAGAACAGAGATCACCAACTCAAAAAAAAAAAAAAACAAAAACAAAAACAAAACTATCTTGCTTGAGAAAGACAGAAAGAGAGAGAGATTCTACACAGGAGCCAGGCAGAGTCTTGATCCAGAATCAGATGATAAAATAAAGGTGCTGAAGATGACTGTAAGCCCATGTCAACTTCAAGGACAGAAATCATTCATTTTTGATTCTCAGCTTTTGCTCACCTGAAGACGAAATTCACGGTAGGACACAGAATGGTCCTTCCATTTCACATTCTGGTATGTTGGCACACAGTGAGAATGCATCACAAAACCCGTGGACATTTCAAGGTCCTTTTCATAAATATATATGAATATATGTATATACATAATACTTGAAACAATCACAGATTAACAGCTTTTAACTGTCCATTTAATATCCATTTAAGCAACAGAAAAAAATAAAAATACTGTATTCTGTGGTGATTATTTATTGGTTAAACAGTTGTATTTTTCCTCTTCACATTTTCGGTGACTGCTTCCCACTGGTATCATCAACCAAGTCTCTCAGACGAGATAAGTGGTGCAAAGCCCTTCATTAAAAAGTATAAAACATATTATAAACCAGTATTAGGGGTTGACAAGGTCATATAGAAAGCAACAAATGGTGATTATATTACCTATTAACTTCAAAGTTTAATATGAAAAACAAATTTATGAAGTGTCAAATATCAAGAATTTTTCCTTACAAAAACTTGAGATCTGAAAATAACTGAAAAAGGGTTAAAATTCTATAAATATTTATAGAATTATCTATAAATAATTCACCCAAAATTCTATAAATATTTATTTTAAAAAATTGTATTTTGACAAGGTTTTTTTAAAACACACTAGTCAAATAATAATAGTAACTACTGTAATCATATTTAACATATTTTCCATATAATTTTCACAAGAGCCCTATGAAATTATATTCTTCCTTTTGGCATACTGTGTTTATCATTTAAAACATCAAGTACATAAAGTTTTGAAAGTATAAAACCATCACTATAGTCCTAAGAAAAACTCATTTTTATTAAATAAGGAAGAAACTAGTAATGATTACATTTAATAATGTTAAAGACCAACAACCTAATTTTTCTCTAAAATAAAGATTGTCAGTCAATCTTTCAGAGCTTCTCAAAGCTCAGAGAAGAAAACTTAACCATCCCTCAAATTGGGAAGATGCAGTTCCTTTCAAAGAGATGACTAAAAATATCTGTATCCATGAAGTGCTGCCCATGTTTGTCTGCATATATTCTTCCAGTGTTTCCTCTTCCCTAGCATCAGCATTCTTGAGGACCAGTCAGAAAAAGTTAATCATATTTTAGATATCAAATGAAGCAACTAATTATAATGCACAGTTCTCCTGAATATCAGGAATTTCTATTTCTGCTTGGGAAGGTGGTGAGGATAAGCATCTCGTTCCTCAGTCTCTAACACAGATTCCAGCACGGCATATTAAATAAAACACATCTTCCATCTTACTGAGGATAAGAAGATGGAGAGGAGGCTAGAGAGAGACCCACAGGCTGGACACACCTGCCATGCACACGGCTCACCTGGGCTAGATTTCCTAACATCCATATGGTGCCCCGGCACTGCCAGGAGTAAAACCTGAGTGCAGAGTAAGGAGTAAACTCTGAGTATTACCAGTGTGAAAACAAAAACAAAAAGCCAACAAACCAAAAACAAAAGAAGCCAACATGACTATCTTTAGAACTACTTAATTCTACCCTATAACCTGACTTCAAAGAGATGATGAAAAAGGAATTGTATCCATCCATTAAGTGTTTAGAAAAGGCATACTTACTTTTGAAGTGACTTAGTAATAGGAATCATAGTTTCTTTCAATTGTAATTTTGAAAAATCATCTTCTAAAACCTATTATTTAAAAACAACAAATATGTAAAAATCAGTATTAACTCAAATTAAGTATGTACAATAAAATACTTGAAGTATCAAAAGTATAATTTGATGCAAATTAGCAGCACACAGTAAATGTTGTATTTTCTCTATTTTAAAAAATTTAACTACCACTTAAACACTCATTAACAAGACCTAAAGTGTGATTCTAAGTGCATGCTGAATGGCCGGAGGCATAGTACAGCAGGTGTGGTCCCTACAACAATAACTGCCGAAACTTTAAGGGGATTTTGGGAGAGTAGGGGGACACACCCAGCTGGTGGTGCTGAAGGTTCAGAAGTCATTACTGATGGTGCTCAGGGTACCATATGCAACACCAGGAATCAAACTGGGGTTTGCTGCGTGCAAAAGAAGAGCCATATCCCTTGTACTATCTCTCCAGCCTCCAAACAAACATTTTGAAAAATATCATACTACGGTGAAAAGGATCAGCCCAATGAAAAGAGCAACCAAAGTAGAAACCAAAGTAGAAATTTTCATATTCTCAGGAAATTAAAAAAAAATAAAACAAAAACACAATAGTTTTAAAATAAAACTTTAGGTGGTAGAATGAGTATAGGGTATCTATTGAATGATAGTGAACAGTGCAGTGCAATATTGCTGAAAAGTGAAGTTATACTCCTCAAACTTACACAGTGTTATAAACCAACATTACAGCATAAAAATATAAAACTCTACAGAATTATATTCACAGAAGTCTGTAAACAATACATGGGAACTAAATTTCACACAAAGTTATATGGAAAAGTTCAATGTACAAAAGATTTTCCAGGCTTCCCCAAATATGAAGAAGTTAAATGAAACCATACATAAACATTCATTTTTAAATAGGGGTCACCTGCATGCAGAGAGAGAGAGAGCCAGAGCTCTGACTGGTGATGCTCAGAGGGTCCATAAGGCATCAGGGACTCAGCTCAGGTCTCACACCTGCTAGAAATGTGCTCTACCACTTGAACCATCCCTCAAATCCAAGAATAATTTTGTCAGGTATTAAAAACCAATTCTTAGATTCCCTTCATCCTTTTTAGTTCTCATTTTAAAATAGAATATTGTCTTTATTTATTTATTTAAATTTATTTATTTTAATTTAATGAATCTCACCCACACAGGCAAAGCCTGGCAAGCTCCCCATGAAGTATGTGATACGCCAAACACAGTAACAAGAAGTCTCACAATGGAGATGTTACTGGGCCCTCTCCAGCAAATCATGGGAGGACAGTGCTACAGTGAATCACTGTGGGGTACAGTTACAGACTTACAAACTTCTATGCTTACATTTCAGTCATACAATGATTGAGTATCCATTCCTTTACCAGTGCCCATTCTCCACCACCACTGATCCCAGTATCCCTCCCACCACCCCCATCCCATCCCCCATCCCACCCCACCCTGCCCCTGTGGCAGAGCCATTCCCTTTTGCTCTATCTCTTTCCTTACCAGTGTTGTGGTTTGCAAGAATGTTGCATTTATAACCAAACTAAATAGAACACCATATTCTGGGGTATACTCCATAGAAATCTAGTAGTATTACATTTGTGTTACTTAAAAGAAAAAAGGAATAGTGAAACTTTACAACATGTATTATATGATGTGCTTACTAACGTAAAACTGAAAATCAATCGAAAATAGATGAGAAAAAAATCTTACTCTTCACATTCACAGATTTCAACTCATAAATCAAGTGTGTGCTTACTTGCTTAGTTTCTTTTTCTCTCTCTGTGGTCTTATTCTGATTAAAACTTTCTTGCACAGCTTGAAGATTAAATAACATTTGCTTCAGGGCTTCAACAGGACCATGATGCTTCCCTCCGGAAAGGGTACAGCTCTAAGGTTAAAACAGATGACGGATTAACCACCCAAATTCTATGTGGAAAAAAAATCTTACTTTGAAAAATCATTTTCCTTCAATATGAAACAAAAATATAAGCAAGACATGCCAATAAAGAGCTACTTAAAAAAATCAAAATTGTAATTCATCATTTCCCCAGATTAAGTTAAGGCAAAAATTAAGAGTTTGGTATATTTTTCCTAGTTCCTTGCACTTTTTTTTCCCCTCTTTGGGTCAAACCCAGCGGTGCTTAGGGGTTAGTCCTGGCTCTGTACTCAGGAATTTCTCCTGGCAATGCTTGGGGTACCATATGGGATGCCGGGAATTAAACCTGGGTCGGCCTCATGCAAGGTAAATGCCCTACCTGCTATACTATTGCTCCGGCCCCTCCTTGCACTTTTTAAGTTAATATGACATTTACATTTGTAATAAATTTATTCATCTATTTAGTGCATTAAAAACCATGTATCCTCTAGAACTCAAAGGTTCTCAGAGACTAAGAAAAACATGCTGTACATATAAATTTTTCAAGTATGGAAATTAAGCTGGTTATCAGCTAAGCCAGGACTAGAATTTCAAATATAGCATTACCTATCCATTTTTAAGAATGCTGTCACAAAAAGAATGGATTTACCCCTTTTCATGAGTTACACATTCAATGCAACCTGAGAGACACTTACAGTCTCTGATCACCAATGTATCTGAGTCCCAAGAAGGCCATAGCACTGAGCCACATAAGGTGGTCAAGATTCTGTTAAGAGAATCTGTGAAGGATATTTTTAATTTCTTTTTAAACATATCACAACCTATTATGCTTACATATTTCAAATGAGCTGCTAATGTCTCTGAGCAATCCAAAGTAACAAGCTGATCTCTAAAGATATCCATCATTCAACAGTATTTCAGCATAGACAGTGCATGTACTATTTTTATTTCACATCCTGAGAAAGCTGTTGACTAGCATGTAAAATATTAGAAGTGGGATCTCACTAGTCAATAAATTCAAAACTAAGACTAATGAGTTAAACTATTTTAAGGACATTCTCCACAGATCAAACTACAAGATCAAGAATGTGGAAAACTGAAATTGGTGGAATTTTTGTAGGAAATAATAACATGACCATTCAAAAAATTAAGCACAGAAATGCAGTACTGTTTTTCTCAGAGGAAAAAAAGCATAATAAATTTATGGCCCTATAAAGGTCTATGCTAGGTACAGAGAATTCTATTTTTGAAAACTAAAAATACCAATAATTCTAAGAGCAATCATTTTATTATGGCTGTGTGTTGGAGAAGAACTGAGTATATTTTTAATAAAAGCTAAATAACAGGAAGTACATATTAATAAAATATATATTCTAATAAAATGTTTAAAATTAATTTCACCCACCTGATTATCTTCTAAAAATTCTTCAATGGACCGGTTAGCACAATTTGTCCTTGAAGTCTGAGGACTATCATCACAGTTTACAGGAACAGGAGATTTGCTAAATAGAATTTAAAGATACAAATAGCAATTAAGTTTCCAATATAAAAAAATGGGCACAAAGCATTTAAGTACAAATGGTCTGTAAGAAAGAATCAAATGATATGATTTATATTAATGTTGCTAGGTGATTCCCACTTCTCCCTAAACTGATAACCTGAATGTAATCCATCCTATTTCTTTTTTTTTTTTTTTTTTTTTGCTTTTTGGGTCACACCTGGCTATGCACAGGAGTTACTCCTGGCTCTGCACTCAGGAATTACCCCTGGCGGTGCTCAGGGGACCATATGGGATGCTGGGAATTGAACCCGGGTCGGCCACGTGCAAGGCAAAATGTCCTACCCGCTGTGCTACTGCTCCAGCCCCCCCATCCTACCTAATTCTTACCAATCTCCCTTAAAGCTTTAAGAAAATAACTATAAAAAAGCTGAAGATTTTAGTCAACAAATAATCCTTCAATACCAGCTGTGCTTTCAAAACTCATTTGCTTGAAGTTCAAGCTACATTTTTCTAATTAAATCACTGTCAATGTCCTCCAGTAACATTGTGAGATTTGTGGTTACTGGGTTTGGCATATCGAATATGTCATGGGTAGCTTGCCAGGCTTTGCCACACGGGCAAGATACTCTCGGTAGCTTGCCGGGCTCTCCAAGAGGGGAGGAGGAATCGAACCTGGTTGGCTGCATGCAAGGCAAACGCCCTATTTGCTGTGCTATCACTCCAGCCCATATCGTTCCAGCCCATAGAGCAATATATAATATTCTAATTAAATATTATAAATAAAGCCAATGTCAACACATTAAGCCCCTGTAAGAGTTTCAGCAGGGATGAAAGGTTTACTTTGTGCTTCCACATCAAAACAGCAGGGGCCAGAGAGATACTCCAGGAGTAAGGCGCATGCCTTGCATGTGGCCAATCTCAGTTCAATCCCTAACACCAAAGGGTCCCTGAGCTCTTGAGGCATAACCCTGGAAATCTCCAAGCATCACTGGGGTGGCACAGGTCATCACTGGCCCCACACGCCCTTGCACCATCCCATTAACTAGCTGGCCTCACCTCAGCATCACCAGGTAGAACCCCCAGGCTCCTTGACAACCCCACCCCACAATTAAGGCAAGGGAACAGGCTTCCCCTCCAGAACTGGCCTTAACTTGGAGAACAGATTAGAGTACGAAAATGATTGATTTTGAAGTACCATTTTTGAGTCCAAACTGAGACCAAACTTACTCTGTCCTCTGGCATCACTTATTTATCTAAACTTGTTTCTACATTTGTGGTAATGCCCCTTATTTTACAAAAGTATCAAACTCAAGGATTTCTCTATGTACCATGTAAATTTAATTATTCTCAAGAAACCAGTAAATCTGTTTCTTGATGTTCAAGGGGTGGTAAAGGGCATCACTAGCAAAAGAATTTTGCCAAAAGCAAACTATCAAACACAGAAAATGATATCATTCCCTTATTTCTATTTACTTCTATTTCAATTTTTAATTCAAATATTAAAATGACACAAAGCTATTTTTATTATATTAATTTGTAACTCTTCAAAACTCATTTGATTTGTTCACCTAATCACTTAACTTCCCGTTAGTCGTCGATTTGCTCGAGCGGGCGCCAGTAACGTCTCCATTTGTCCCTGTCGCGTGCTAGTGTAGCCCAATGGCATCTGTTCGCTCCGGGAACATGAAGGGCCTCAAACCAATCGTTCATGATCTTGACGAAGAAGTCTGACCATCTGGTAGGTGGGCGGCCACGCGGTCTTTTGACATCCCGTGGAATCCAATCAGTAACAGCTCTAGTCCAACGGTTGTCTTTAAATCTCATTACGTGACCAGCCCATCTGATTTTCGACACCTTGGCAAAATGAGACAGCGTCCCTGATCCTTGATCATCAACGAATGTCAGAACTCCGGATTCGTTCTCTCATTTGAGTGAAACGTGATATTCCAAGCATAGCTCTTTCTATTCTTCTTTGGGAGACCTGAATAGCGTTCTCATCTTGTTTGCGTAGGGCCCAGGTCTCTGAGGCATATGTTAATGCAGGAAGAACAGTGGAATCAAAGAGATGTGCCTGGAGCCGGAGGTTCTTCGTCCTCTTAGCTATTTCTTCGACGTTCTTGAAGGCGTTCCAAGCCACTCTCTTCCTCCTGCGCAGCTCGGGTGCCAGGTCATTTGTCATGTTGACCTCTCGTCCTAGGTACACATAGCTGTTGCATTCGGAGATGGTCGTTCCATTGAGAGCGAATGGGGCGTCAGGAACAAGGCTGTTTCTCATAAACATTGTCTTCGTAAGATTCAGCTGTAGTCCTACCTTTCCACACTCACGGTCAAAGTCGGCCGATTTGTTAATTTACTGTTTTTTTTCATACAGTCTTTTTTCACCTTCTTACAAAAGGAATTTGCTTAGCTATCCACTATCACTAAAAAGCATTTACCTATTTATTGAAAATGAGTACTGTCTAGTTATTCATTATACTATCCTTTAATGGATAGGAGAGGGGTTCGGCAGGGTGATACCATTTCACCGAAACTCTTCAGTGCCACCCTCGAGAACATCATGCGACGACTGGAATGGGAAGGAATGGGAGTGAAGATAGATGGTCGGCAACTACACCACCTCCGCTTTGCTGATGACATTGTTTTAATAACACCAAACATCAGCCAAGCGGCACAAATGCTGGCCGACTTTGACCGTGAGTGTGGAAAGGTAGGACTACAGCTGAATCTTACAAAGACAATGTTTATGAGAAACAGCCTCGTTCCTGACGCCCCATTCGCTCTCAACGGAACGACCATCTCTGAATGCAACAGCTATGTGTACCTAGGTCGAGAAGTCAACATGACAAATGACCTGGCACCCGAGCTGCGCAGGAGGAAGAGAGCAGCTTGGAACGCCTTCAAGAACATCGAAGAAATAGCTAAGAGGACGAAGAACCTCCGGCTCTGGGCACATCTCTTTGATTCCACTGTTCTTCCTGCATTAATATATGCCTCAGAGACCTGGGCCCTACACAAACAGGATGAGAACCTATTCAAGTCTCCCAAAGAAGAATAGAAAGAGCTATGCTTGGAATATCACGTTTCACTCAAATGAGAGAAAAAATCTGGAGTTCTGACATCTGTTGACGATCAAGAATCAGGGACGCTGTCTCATTTGCCAAGGTGTCAAAAATCAGATGGGCTGGTCACGTAATGAGATTTAAAGACGACCGCTGGACTAGAGCTGTTACTGACTGGATTCCACGGGATGTCAAAAGACCACGTGGCCGCCCACCTACCAGATGGTCAGACTTCTTCATGAAGATCATGAACAATCAGTTTGAGGCTCTTCATGATCCCAGAGCGAACAGATGCCATTGGGCTACACTAGCACGCGACAGGGACAAATGGAGACGTTACTGGCGCCCACTCGAGCAAATCGACAACTAACGGGAAGTTAAGTGATTAAGTGATTTAAGTGACTATCCTCTTAAGTTTGTATTTGCTTGAAATTTTTCATTAAAAGTTCAACAACAAAAATAGCAATTATCTGGTTATGGTTGCATTCTACCATTTTAATATGCTACCTTGAATACTTCTTAGCTCATTTTGTTCTTAATGACAGATATGTCAACACCTAATTATGATCAGATCTATTCCTAATCATATCATTAATTTCATATAGAAATAAAGCAAAATAAAGGGACAGAAATACTTTTTCAAAAGAATTCACCTTTAAGACAGAAACCATCCTGAATACCAAACTGAATCCTCATAAACCCAAAGTTTTCCTTTTCCTCTCTACTGTAGAAAGAAAAAAGTAACTTTACAACATCTCAACAAGGAAGTCCACACAGCCATCATTCCAAACTGGAATTAGTGTTCACAATCAAAACAAGATAATCAACCTGAGAAAATAAAAAATGACTGCAGCCTAAAGCAAGTTATAGTTAGCAAAAATAAATTTGTTATTTATGGTGTAAGATCACATCAGTAACAATAAAAGCTTTCCTCCCAAACCCTCACATTCACAGACATGTACTTTTTTAATGAGTCTGAGAAACTAAGTCATAGAAGTTAAATCTTTGACACTCCAAAAAGTTATACAATAGTTCATACAAGAAAACTGCACCATCACTGACCGAAAAAGACTAAGAAAAAGTGTGAATTAAAATAATAATCCAGCACATGGAGAGAACACAGAGAGGAATAAAAGCTTTAAAATAAAAAGAATTCCAGAACTTTCTGCGGTATGCAAAATAGTTGCGTTGGGTTCTACTTCACCACACCAAACATTAAGTTTGTAGAGCAATAAGAACACAATTTTATATAAAGTATCCAAGTATCAGATGCAATTGTGAAACATGACACCATCAGGTGGTAACTTAATAAATCATGCAAGTGAAGGACTTGAAGAGAATTGGGGGAAGGAGGGTGGTAAGGGTTGGGGGAGGGGGTAAGGGTTAGAGATTTACATCTTACATCTTGAGACTGACTCTGATTTCAGTCCAAGCACCACTAGCGCTAGGTGTGGTCCAAAGCCAAACAACATCAAACTGCTGGGTACAGAAGCAGGACCTGTCCTTGAGCCGTACCCTGAAATTTCAGTCCAAAAACAAACCCAAAATGCCAAAGCACGCCAACCCTGGGGCCGGAAAGACAGCTCAAGTGCGGAGTGCCCAGTCTGCACTTGGGAGGGCAGGACTTCCAGGCCCGGCACAATTCCCAAGCTGGGAACAGCCCCAAAGCACTGCCAGGCATCGCCTAAAAACAACAACAAATTTTAATTTAAAAAGCAAGCAATACTCAAGCTGTGCACTTCACAATTACCACGTGCCTACCATTGGTAATTGTCTTTTTATTTAAAAAATAAACCAGATGTTCACTTGACCATTTTCATTCAGAAAATAAAACTTTTCCTATTGTCACTTACAAAGCAACAGGAATATTTTCCCATGACCTCTCTGCCTCAAGTTTATCTAAGGAGCAGGGGCTGTCATCCTTTTTCGTAGGCTTTGGTAGTTCTTCAGTACGAGGCTCTAGATTTTTCTTGGCCTTCAGGATAAGCAACTCAATTTTGTCACCTAATTTAAAAGATTAAGAAAAAGATACAAAGTACGGTAAAGTCTCACGAAGGCAACATTCATGTAATTTAAAATATGCATGAATTTACAAAAAATTATGTTAAGGTATGAAGAAAAAATGAAAAAAAGGTGTGGGAGAAAAAAACATTTTCTCATAAAAAATACTACATAAATGAAGTCTAGGCTTTAAAAAAAATCACTACATTTAGAATACAACACAAAGCTCCTAAATTTAATAAACTAGATTTAAGCTTCTAGATTTAATCAGTGGTGGGGGGGGGAGGGGGAGGTCTTAAAAAGCAAAACTCAAACAACAACAAAGAAAAACAATTACCACTGAATGGCTCTTTGGATTGTCCTAGGAGTGGAGTCCCACAGTGACACCTGTTTTGACCGCAATCACACTCATAACCATTAACTAATCCTTTATCATCACTCAAGGAATTTAAAACATTTGAAGAGTCAAACGAACATTCAAAACAATCCGATGTGTTTGGAAGTCGAGAAGTTCTTTCTGCCTGATAACGATGACTGGGGGAATTTTGATCTTCTTTGCATACTTTATGAATTCTTTCGCTCTTTGTATCAGGTAGCAAGTCCTCATTATGCAGCCAGACTGGGTATTTGAAATCAGGTATACTGGTTATCCCTGAAACATTAAGATCAGATTTCTGGCTAGTGAGCCATCTTGGGTAATTCTTCTCAAGACTGTGTTCTGATCTGTCCTTGGAAGGCAGTTTCTTGGCAAAACATATAGGTGCTTCTGAAGAGCATCTATTAGCTTTATTCATAACTTTGGGGGATTTTAACCTGTCACACTGCTTCCCATTAGTACTTGTGTATACCACAGGAGTGACTAAATTATTCTTGCCCATGGGAAAGGCAGGTTCTTGAACACTTTTATTCCTTTCAGTGTCCAATAAATTCAGTCTTGCAGTGCATTTCTTATTTTTCTTGTGAATTTGGTTGCCTGGTCCAACGTAAGTGAATGAAAATGATCCATCTGCTGGAAGTTTTAATAAATCATCAGTCGTTAGGCTAACAGAGTCTAAATCATTAATAATCTCTCTTCTGTAGGATAACGAGCTTTTCCTGTGATCAAGATTTTCAGGAGCTGTAAAACATAAGCACAGTTTTGTTCATTATACATAATGTTCAACAGTAAATAAAATTCTCTTTTAAGAATTTAAAGCGTAAGGGTGGAAAAGCACCTCAAATGGCAGAGGACACACCTTACAATCCCCTCAATGGCACCCAGATATGCAATGCCCAAAGGTGCTGGATATAGCAACACAGCAAGAAATAATTTAAGAATTCTGCCACTTTCTCTTTATCCTTAATAAAGCTCTGATGAAAAGTGTAAGAAAAGGGTGGGAGAGACTGTACAGTGGGTAATACGCTTGCCTTGCATGTGACCAACCCTGGTTCAGACTCCAGCAGAATATTTGGTCCACTGAGCACTGCGCAGAAAGATCTCTGAGCACAGCGTAATAACTAAAAAAATAATTTAAAAATAAAAATACTTTAGAAGTATTTGAAAGAAGGGCGCAAAAACCAGTTAGGATCGAGAAGGAGCCAGTATGACAATAATAGTTGGAAATGATCACTCTGGACAAGAACTGATCATTGAAAGTAGGTAAAAGGATATACTTGGTCACGGTCCTCCCGTTGTTCAGTGATTTGCTCGAGCAGGCCCAGTAACGTCTCCATCATGAGACTTGTTGTTACTGTGTTTGGCATATCGAGTACATCACGGGTAGCTTGCCAGGCTCTGCCATGCGGGGGAGATACTCTCAGTAGCTTGCCGGGCTCTCCGAGAGGGGCAGAGGAATCGAACTCGGGTTCGGCCATGTTGGCTGTGTGCAAGGCAAACGCGCTACCGCTGCGCTATTGCTCCAGCTGGATATACATGATAACCTTTCACTATCTATATTGCAAACCATAATGCCCAAAAGGAAAGATAGAGAGGGAGGAAGGGAGGGAGGGAGGGAGGGAGGGAGGGAGGGAGGAGAGAGAGAGAGAGAGGGAGGGAGGGAGGGAGGAGAGAGAGAGAGTGAGAGAGAGAGAGAGAGAGAGAGAGAGAGAGAGAGAGAAGTGCCTGCCATAGAGGCAGGTACGGGGTTAGGAGGGAAATCGGGGACACTGATAGCAGGAATATGACTGAACCCCAACCATGAACAACTTATAACAGTGTATATCTCCCTATGATTCAATTAAATACATAAAGCATAGGTTGATGAATAGGATAAGATTTTTTAATGTCCTCTTCACATCTTCGATTTAATTCATTTCTACACTCGCTCTCCAATCTCAATTCTCCCATGGTTTTTACTGTTTTAATGTTCTTTTTTTTTTGCTTTTTGGGTCACACCCAGCGATGCACAGGGGTTACTCCAGGCTCATGCACTCAGGAATTACTCCTGGTGGTGCTTGAGGGACCATATGGGATGCTGAGAATTGAACCCGGGTTGGCCACGTGCAAAGCAAACACTCTATCCGCTGTGCTATCACTCCAGTACAGGCTCCAACACAGGCTCCAGCACAGCAGGTAGAGCATTTGCCTTGAACACAGCTGACCTGAGTTCGAATTCCCCCGTCCCTCTCAGAGAGCCCGTCAAGCTACCGAGAGTATCCCGCCTGCACAGCAGAGCTTTGCAAGCTCCCCGTGGCATATTCAATATGCCAAAAACAATAACAAGCAGTCTCACAATGGAGACGTTACTGGTGTCCACTCGAACAATGGGAGGACTACGGTGCTAACGTTCCTTCAATTTTCTCATCTTAGACACACCCAAAGTGCTAGCAACTCGCACTAATATTTGTTCCTCAATACTGGGCAAAGCATAGAGAGGAAAAATGCAATCAAGCTAGAAAAAAAAATTTGCTCTACTATGTACTAAATCTGCACTAGCATTAACAGAAAGGCTGTTCTAACTCCTCTATTACATATATTGCCCACATTCCTTTAAGAGATAAACGTGCACATTTTTCGATTTGATGGCCATTCTATAAGTGACAAGTACTGCATTAATGGTTTTCAACAAATGCACTTTCAATATTTATCTTCATCAAAACCTTAAAAAAAAAACAGAACATTTTAGGACAATTACTGTCCCATAGAATACAAATCAGAGAGAAGAAGAGCCCTGGGACTGATCAAGTTTAAACTTCCAAAGGTTGAGATTTGGTTTGAGTCATATACCTTGCTAAAAAAAAAAATACCTAGAATACCAAGTCACTGCTCTTTCACTGATGTTATAATAATATGGCTCCAGAGTTTACTGATTAGGAGCAGGAATGGGTGACCTCCCCTCATCTCTCTGTTCTTCCGGGAGCCTGGCAATCACTCCCACGAACCGCCTCTGGTAGCATATAAGCTTATTAACAGCCATGATCCAGAGACTCACAAATAAATCTCAGCAGAGAGTCACAAGCTGCAGAAATGTCTCCTAATCCCAAAGTTACTATCCAGTTAAAAATTTAAGTCCAGCTGTATCACCTTATTTAAAAGTTTAGAATTCCTGGAGCACATGGCCCTGAATGCCGAGAGCAACACATACTCTCCACCACTGATGTAGCACACCACATTTGATGCAGTGTAAAGTAGAAGGCAACCGAACTCATCCCAGCATAAGCATACAAAGGCTCAACCTGTAATAACATAGTAGTAATCTCTTATGTAAGGGATAATGGCTCCAGGGTGAGATATAACAATCTTCACACACTTCCCTCTAAGGAAACTTTTTTGAATTATTTTTAGCAGATTATTCACAACAAGCAAGTAAAGTAAAGTAAAGTAAACAACAAGCAATAAAAAATAAATTATTTAGGACCTGTTTGGGGGGCAGGCTTGGGTGGTGAAGGGAAAAATTTGAAATAATGGTGGTGGGAAGGTGTAATGGTGGTGGGATTGGTATTGGAATATTGAATGTAATAAATTATTGTGAACAAACATAAAAATAAAATTAAAGAGTTCAGTAAGGGTGATTAGAGGTCACCCCAAAAGCCTCTATCCCTCTCGGAAAGACTGGCAAGCTACCGAGAGTACTCCGCCCGCACGGAAGAGCCTGGCAAGCTATCCGCTGTGTATCCGCTGTATATTCGATATGCCAAAACCAGTAACTACAACTGGTCTCATTCACCTGACCCTGAAGGCTTCACCGACATGGCAGCACTGAGAAGGATGAGAAAGGAGAGGCCGACAAAATCTCAAGGCCGACCTAGGCTGCCACAACGAAATCGGTTTGAGGCCCTTCATGTTCCGGGAGCGAACAGATGCCATTGGGCTACACTAGCACGTGACAGGGACAAATGGAGACGTTACTGGCGCCCGCTCGAGCAAATCGACGAGTAACGGGAAGTTAAGTGATTAAGTGATTAAGTGAAAGAGTTCAGTGTAGCACTGTCCTCCTGTTGTTCACTGATTTGCTCAAGCGGGCACTAGTAATGTCTTACAACAAATTGTGAGACTTGTTACTATTTTTGGCATATTGAATATGTCACGCATAGCTTGCCAGGCTTTGACGTGCGGGGCGAGATACTCTCGGTAGCTTGCTGGGCTCTCCGAGAGGGGCAGAGGAATCGAACCCGGGTCAGCCATGTTGGCTGCATGCAAGGGAAATGCTTACCTGCTGTGCTCTCGATTCAGTGTTAGCTACAAAACTATTTATATATGTTTAATGCTGTTTATATTCATTAACTTCCCCTCATTTAAGAAAAATATCCATTATTTCAAGTTTATAACAAAAATTCATAAAAATTTTTGAATATTCATTATTTCAAGCTTATAAAAAAAAATCTCACCAACCGAAGAGAAAGATCAACTGAGCATATACTTCAAATGCAGGAGGCCTGGGTTCAAGCCGGCGTACCCCAGGGCTCCCAAGCACCACTCAAGTGACCCCCAAGCAAAGAGTCAGGTGTAGGCCCTGACTATGACTACAAATAATCCCCATTCCAAAATTCTGTCCCCTCAAACAACTAGAAAAAAATGTCTCGCTTTCCAAGCTATCATCTTCAGATGCTTTAAATCTCTGGACAAAAAGAACAAAGAGCATTACCATTCTTTGGTTTATACGTATGTTTGGAGAATCCAGGCACACTGGCAGAATAATTATCAGTGTTGCTCTTTCCAGGGTTGGCAGAAGGATACATTTGGCTGAGATCGTAATCATCTATATAGGCCTGGAGAGCCTGAGATGCAGAACTGTACAGTTTATCTTTATACCGAAAAGAACCATCAGAGTTTGAAGAATTATCGCCACTCAGGCTGCAGCTTAAGAGAGAAGATACTGAAGATTCGTGAGAACAAACTCTGCATTTTGAATTTGATTTTGCCATGATATCCTCAAAATGGATTCTTTATAATTTCTCTTAAAAACTGTAAATAAAAAAATGAAAGGTTAAGCGAGTAATATGTAAAATAGTACCAGCTATGTAAATGTTTACAACTTCTTCAAATAAAAAAATGTATGCTTCCTTTTAATCAATGCATATATCTTCTGTAATTTTTATTATTGAGAATAAAATCAGCTATCTGAAAAGCATTTATTGGGAACCTACTGTGTGCTTATATTACATATTTTAAAAGTTATCAGAAATTATGTATGAAAAGTACTAAGGAAAGAGTACTCCCTTTTTAAAAACATCCTAAAAATTATTGATGTAGTTCTTCCTCAAGGAGATAAATTTAATGATGTCACAATACCTAACTGCCCTATACAAAACATTTTTCAATTCATAAGCCTGACCATCATGAACTGTGACTACTAGGCACTGTTTTATAAAACTATACAAATTAGGGGCTAGACAGATAGTATAACATATTGCTTTGAATGAAGTCAACGGATTTTGATCCTCAGAAACACATATGGTCCCCAAAGCACCATGAGGAGTGATCCCTGAGCACAGAGTCCAGAGTAAGCCCTGAGCACCACCAGTTATGGCTCCCAAACAAATATATATTTATATATATATAAAGAATGGAAAATAACTTTTATGTTGTAAATGTCAATATCTAACTTTATCTAACCCTTTCCTCCAGAAAACTCTAGAGCAAAAAATATAAACATTTATAATATTTATGGGCTGGAGCAATAGCACAGCGGTAGGGCATTTGCCTTGCAGGCGGCCCAGGCAGCCCATCTGACCAACCCAGATTCAATTCCTCTGCCCCTCTCAGAGAGCCCGGCAAGCTACTGAGAGTATCTCACCAGAACCACAAAGCCTGGCAAGCTCCCCGTGAGGATTCGATATGCCAAACACAGTAACAAGAAGTCTCACAATGGAGATGTTACTGGGCCCGCTCAAACAAATCGATTAACAATGTGAGGACAGTGCCACAGTGCTAATATTTATAACATTATGACAAGTTTTATTACAAAATGAGCAATCAAAATAGTCTCATGCTAAAACAGCACTGCTAATAATCGTTTTCTGACTTTCATTTTTCGCACTACTCTATTTTCAACTCTTACATTAAAAATACGGCCTTGCACCTACTGGACAGGGTTAGATCCTCAGCATCCCATATGGTCTCAAGAGCACTGCCAGGAGTAATTCCTGAGTGTACAGCCAAGAGTAACCCCTGACTTAAAATTCTGTACTAACACTGAAAAATAAACGTCTGGGACAGAGCACGTTATGATGCCATAACGGTAACAGTGAATCCGAAGATAAGAGTTTGGAAGTGTGTCCGTTTTAACAACTTCTAATACGATCTCAGTAACTACCACTTCCTTAAAGCACTGACTGGGAGGCATCCTTCCTCTGGGCCTTCGGGAAAGAAGCTGTCATTCATTCTACAAGAGGTGACCACCTCTGACAGCCCCAAGGGCTGAGCTGGTCTCTTTCGAAACTTGGTTAAACTAAGTCAGCTTGGTTCTTTTTTAAAAGTTTGTTTTGTTGGGGGGGGGGGGGTGCGGAGGGGCCTCACCCAGCGGTGCTTAGGGCTTATTCCCGACTCTGTGCTCAGAGATCCCTCCTGGGGAGGCCTCGGAGGACGCTTATGGGATGCCTAGGATCGAACCCAGCTCAGCTGCGCGCAAGGCAAGCACCCTACCCGCTGTACCATCACTCTGCCCTTTTGCAGGGGAGTGGGGAGGAGAGGGTTGTTTTTGTTTTCAGGTTACCCCAGGATCACTCCTGGTGGGGATCAGGGGACGACCCGATGGGGGTACCGGAGACGGAGCCCGGGTCAGCGGCGTGCAAAATCAGCATCCCAGCCTGGCATCCACGGTTCGGCTCTCGGCCCATCCCCTCCCCCCCTCCCCCCCCCCCGCCCCACACACACACCCGGAACCGCTTCAACCCGGGAGGACCCACCCGCCCCGACGCACCCGCGCACCGTTATTCGCGCACGGCACGGCGGGGGGCGGGGGGAGGAACCTCCCTGCTCCCTAACAAGTCCTTTGGGGGAAAAAATAATAATAATAATAATAATAACCAAAACCCTCCGAGGGGATCTCGGCAAAGGGAAGGAAACAAGAAACCGAAACCGTTTCACCCGTCGGTGGGGAGCAGAACGCACCCCACGGCTGAACGTCCGTGGCGGAAACGCGCCGCCGGGATCCGCCGCGACGGCCACCACCACCCGGCGCCCGGCGCCCCGCGTCCCCTCTCGGTCCCCTCTCCGTCCCCGCCACCGCCCGGCGCCCCGCGTCTCCTCTCGGTCCCCCTCTCCGTCCCCGCCGCTGCCCAGCATCCGTCCCCGGCCGGCAGCCCGTGTCCACCCTCCGTCCCGGCGCCGCCCCGCGTCCAACCCTCCGTCCCCGCCACCGCCCCGGCGCGCGCGTCTCACCGCCCGGGTCGCCGCCGTCCGGTCCCCCCGCGGGGCGCCCATCGTCCCGCTCCGGCCACTTGGCGACGCGCACGACCCCTCGCCGCGGCCCGCTCGGCTGCCAGCGCCCGGACGTGCGGGGAGGTCAGGTCCGGGGGGCGACGAGTTCTAGGACGGAATCGCGCGGTGGGAGGAGGGTAGGAGGCCCCCCGGGACGCGGCCGAGCCGGAGACCCCCGAAAGTTCCCACTGCGGCGAGGAGGGGCTCAGCGGCGGACGCTCCCTCCTCCTCCCCCCCGACCCCACCCCAGTCTCCGGGCGCCCCGGGAGGGTTCAGAAAAGAGCCCCCCGGCTCCCGGCAGCGACCGGCCGGCCTGTCACCGGACCGGAGACGCGACAAAGCATCCCCCGAGCCCCCCGCGCCCGCCGCCGTCACAGGCGCGCGCGCTCGCGTTCAAACGGCCCCGGCGGGGCGCTGGGCGGCGCTGCGCAGGCGCGGGCAGCGGGGGGCGCACCCCGCCCCCCACCCCGCCCCCACCCCGCCGCCGCCTCCAGCCTCCGGCCCCGGCGGCGGGGATGGCTCGGGCTCCCCGGCTCGACGCCCTCCCGACGTCCGTCCCCGCCTCCCGTCCGTCCGGACGAGCGCTGGAGACCCCGGGGCTAGCTGCCCCGGCCGGTGAGGGGCCCCGGGAGGATCGGGGTCTCGGGGTGCTGCCGCCCTGCTTTCCCATCATCACCCCCCCAGCCCGGGGTAAGACACCACGTGGGCTGGGGGGCGCGGTTCCTCAATGCCTCCCAGTTCCACCCCTGCACCCCGCCCTCCCGGGCAACCAGGCAAGCCCCCTTACTCCCTTACTCCCGGTGCAGGTGCGGCTTGGGAGGTGGAGTTTGGCCAAGGATGGGGTTTTGTCTATATTTATTATTATTATTATTAATTATTTTGCTTTTGGGGGTCACACCCAGCGATGCACAGGGGTTACTCCTGGCTCATGCACTCAGGAATTACTCCTGGCGGTGCTCGGGGGATCATATGGGATGCTGGGAATCGAACCCCGGTCAGCCTGGTCGGCCGTGTGCAAGGCAAATGCCCTACCCGCTGTGCTATTGTTCGTGAACCGGCTTTGATTCCTCCGCCCTGCTCTGAGAGCCCAGCAAGCTACCAAGAGTATCTCGCCCACAGGGCAAAGCCTGGCAAGCTACCCGTGATGTATTCAATATGCTAAACACAGTAATAACAAAGTCTCAAAATGGAGACGTTATTAGGCCCGCTTGAGCAAATTGGTGAATATTGAATATTGAACATAATATATATTCAATATGCCAAACACAGTAATAACAAGTCTCAAAATGGAGACGTTTCGAGGCCCACTTGAGCGAATCGATGAACATCCAGAGGACTGTGCTACAGTGCTATTATTAATATTATTCGTTCTTCCCGTTTTTTGATGGTGCTGGGCGCAGAACCGAGTACCTCATGCACCGGCAAAGTATGCATGCTTACCACTTGAGCTCCACCCCAGTGCCCCAGGGGTGCAATTTAGCAAACTCTTTGGGGACCTGGATCCCAGGGGAAGAATTGACAATGGGAATTCCCAGTCAGGCAGCCCTGGAAGGTTATCCAAACACATGTAAAGACCCTCTTGCTGCATATGTGAACCCGTCTGCAAGGCTGGTGCGAGGAATCCAGTTTCAACCAAGTGGTGTTTCACAAAAAGGATGCCATCTCAATGTTGTTTGTGTTTATTTTCCACAATCCCTGTGGATGAAGATGCACTTGACCGTCACTCCATCTGACTTTGTTCCAGCTCATTAGCTATTACATCAGCAGGAAATGCAACTAGCCTTGTCCGCTGGCTTCTTTTCACCCTCTCTAACCTACTGAACTTCACTTTTCCTTTCTTCTTTAACAGTTAACAAATCCAGAATCTGTTCAGCTGAGCTCAGTGATTCAGGAAACACAAATTCATTGTAGCAGTCAGTAAGTGCTAATGTTGTTTAACTGAGTTAAAGTTTCTCATGTAGATTACACTCCAGTGTTGTGACCCAATAATCCGTGCCATTTCTCCATCAATCACTAGCCAATAGGTTGTTGATAGAAACTAAACAACAGTGTTCTATGTGACACGACAAGCCCAGGTTAGGGACTAGTTAGAAACTGTTAACGACTCAAACTCCAAAGGTTAGGTTTTGTTTTTTTTTTTATGCACATTTTGTGTCTTAATTTAAACTAGCTTTCTTTGGGCCACAGAAGTAGTACAATATTTAAATCACTTGCCTTGCATGTGGTCAGTTCTGGTTTGATTCCTCAGCACCACACCTTAGGAGGCCCTCCCCCCACAATAAAAAATAAACTGTCATGGACAGTATATGAAGCACTGTCCTGGACAGTAATGAAGCACTGTCCTCCCATTTGTTCATCGATTGGCTCAAGCAGGCCCAGTAACATTGTGAGACTCGTTACTATGTTTGGCATATTGAATACATCACGGGTAGCTTGCCAGGCTTTGCCCTGCGGGCGAGATACTCTTGGTAGCTTGCTGGGCTTTCCGAGAGGGGCGGAGGAATCAAACCCAGCTTGGCCGGGATGGTTGTGCGCAAGACAAACGCCTTACCACTGTGCTATCGCTCCAGCCCTTCATAAGTAATATTTTCAATATTTCTCATACAACCCACCTTCCATCCTGGGGCATAAATCACCAATGTTTTCTAATAAAGATGAAGTATAAATATATGGACACTGAAAAAATATAAAAATGATCAATTAGCCTCTTTTGTGAATCAAAATAAATCTTCCACTTCGTCCCCTTACAGGTTAATAGATATGGAGAGCTCCATGAGATTTAAAGAAGAGCCTTAATAGTTATTAAAATTCTGGACAAGATCCATTAGGAAAGAGAAAGAAACCAATAGTCAACTAGAAAAAAGAGAGACTCATGGTTTACTTTAAAATGTCAAATATAGATGTCAAGTAGGTGTTGTACCTTGATGAAAAACAAAGTTATATATGGTAAGTGGTAAAGTCAGCTCTGTATTGTCAAGGACTGCTCCTTCTACCACACCAACCAGCTTCCCCTAAGTGAAAAATAGATTATGGGCCAGATGAAGAATAGAAAACAGGATGATAAGACACACATTGCAAAAACTGTTCCTTACTGTACTATTGTTGTCAAGTCTCAGTATCTGACCCCTAGTTGGGGTTCAGTAAATTTGTTTAAATTTACTTGATTTAAGGTAACAATTAAGCAAAGACATCCCCTGAAAAGGAGTCATCCATATTGGGGAAGAATTTTCCAAGCAGAGGGAACAGAAACTACAAAAGCCCAGAGATCAAAGACACTGTGTTGTGTCTGGGAACAGCCAGGAGATCAATGCGATTGGAGCTAAGTGGAAGAAAAGACAGGTAAGATTTGTCTTTGGGCCAGAAGACAAGAGTCTGAATATTTAATGTCATTGCCACTCATTTAAAAAAATTAATAATAGGGCCAGAGAGAAAAATGTAGCCAGTTAAGACACTTGCCTTGCATGCAGTCGACCTGGTTTAATCCCCAACAGCCCATTCTAGTCCTGAGAACCACCAAGAGTGATTTCCTGAGTACAGAGCCAGGAGTAAACCCTGAGCATTTCCAGGCATGCCCCCTGCCAAAAATAATAATAATAATAATCCATGGTCCATAAAGTTTGCCCAAGAGGCAGGCAGGGGGCATGGAGTCATTCCACAGCATCAGAAGTAAGCCCTCAGCATCACCAGGTGTGCCTCAGAACAAAAAAATGAATTCCAAGAACACATGATCATCAGTGATCATCAGTTCTTTTTATAAATCACTGTGATTTATGAAAGAAAGGAAGCAGGACATTAAATGCATTATCTCATTTAGACTTTATGATATTCTACAGAATTAGCTATTATCCCAGTTTCCAATTGATAAAATTTAGGAAACAGAACTACTAAAGTGTGTTTTTCATACAGTTTATGAGAAACACAGGGGTTGGCCCAGGTCTCTGTCTCCAAAGCTGTTTTTTGTATTCTGCCATATTTTTTCCTGTAAAACACCAAGAATAGGAAAAGTCTATGCAAGTACCCAGGAAGGAATTGTTCTTCATTGTAACGCGGTAGGAACCTTAGAAACAGAGTTAAAATGTAATATGGAATTTCAAAAGTTTTGAATATAATGACATTCTTAACAATCATTTGTTCTTAAAACTTTGCAGGTAGATGGACTATAAGGCACTGGCCCAACAAACTGCCCAAGAAATTTTAGGTTACAATCAAGATACATCAGACTGGAAAGTGGTTAAAACTGCAGTAAGAAAACAATATGTGTCAAGAGTTTGTGTTTAAATGAGAACCAACTCACTGTAAAGACATTTTAATTTTTTTCTTTTACAAACCAAAAAGTATATTTTTACTTTTTGTTTCATTTTTGGGTTTTGCTATTTATTTTTTTCCTATTTTTGCTCTTTATTTTTATGTACCCGACAGCTAATTTATTGATTTTTTTTATTCCCCTTTGAGAAAAAGGTAACTGTTTACAGCAAGACTTCTAGAAAATTCCATGGAAATCTGTGAGTACGACTTCCTATTTAAAGCCATTGTTTAGAATCTGCTTTTACATTTTTAACTGAATCCTCAAAAAAACACGAAATTTTAAAGTCAAGTCTCAGTCAGGGAGACGTCTCAAAAGATTGAGCATGTACTTTGCTGCAGAAAGTCCAGTTCGCCTCAGGGACCCACTAACAAAAGGCGGGAGTAGCCCCTAAGTATTCCCAGATGTGGCCAAACTCCACCACCCCTCCCAACACACACACACACACACACACACACACACACACACACACACATACAAACACACAAAGTCTCAATAAAGTTTAACTAACACAGACATGCCTATTCACTAAGTATTGTTTGTGGTTGGTTTATTGCTATATGAGTCAAGTTCAATAGTTGGAAAAGTGACCACATTGCCCACGAAGCATTTCTCATACCATGAGGCCTCTACTGAAACATTTCCTGGGCCCAGCTATAGATAGAATTATATCCTCAAATTAAGAGTTGAGGCACAAGATATTTTATAACTTCATAAATTTCTCATTAGTTACTATTGGCTTACAGTAAATACAGCAGGAAAATGTGTATAAGAAAGATTTTAGATGAGTCTGGAATGAAATTAAGGTAACTGTAGAAACAGTAACAAAATAAGAAAAATAAAATGTTGAAAAAAATACAATTATTATTGTAACGCATATTTAACTAAAATTATTTCCAATTGTAGGATTAATGCACCTGATGAATTCCTAAAGTAATTTTTATCTTTTTCTTACTGTCATTTACTAAAATAGTTTGATAGTATATATTTTCAGCTTAGATTAAACCTGTTAAACTTTGAAAACTCTTTATTTTGTTAACTATAGATATCGTGTTGAAGGAATAATTCCAGAACCAGCAGCTAAATTATCTGATTTCCTTTACAAACCTGAAAATAGAATTGCGTGGGATAAATCGTTGAAAGTGTACAATATGGTGCACAAGATTGACCCGGTAATTTCTTATTTAGTATTAGACTTTTATTATATTAATATATTATTAGTTTTATACCTTGGTGTGGGTCCCGGGGCTGAGGTCTCCAAGCCTACTCGGATTGGGACTGGGCCTTCTCCAACCAGAGCCTCCATCTTCCAGTAGGTAGGCATCACACCCACTAGCTGCCACCAGCGCCAGGTTGGTCCCATGAACGGCCAAGACGCAGACACTATAAAACCCAGCTCCCGGAAGCATGCGGCCGCATTCTCAGCCTCGCTACATCTTATTATCTTATTTTTCCTTTGGAGAACCCAGCAGGCTACCAAAAGTATCCTGCCCACACAGCAGAGTCTGGCAAACTTCCCGTGTCATACTCAATATGCCAAATACCAGTAACAATGATGGGTCTCATTCTCCTAATCCTGAAAGAGCATTGGAATGGCTCTTTTAAAATCTCAGGGCTGGGAAGAAGGAGACGTTACTGGTGCCTGCTCGAGGAAATCGACGAACAACTGGATGATCGTGATCGTGATACCTTAGTGATTTGAGTTAATCCTTTATTAACCAAAAGTTTCGTTCAAATTCACTTTGTTCTGTTTGTAACCGCATGTCTAATTTAGAATTTGGTCAATTCTCTTGCACATGTTTACGGGGGTTATAAGAACTCATTCATTCTCCAACTTCCCTAGGCAGGAATAGAGGTGAATCATTCCTTGTCAATGGAATTCAGTAAATTTATATAGTGGTATTACATTAAATAACAGGAGCAATGCAGACATATTTCATAGGGGCTTACAGAAAAGAAGCATGCAGTCTGTAATATTAAGGACAAGGCAGGAAGGGAGCACCAAGAGGGAGAGTAGGTGCCTTGTAGGTCTAATATCTGGAGTTCATCAAAGCATGGCCAGGTTGTGGCCATATTGGAGAAGCCCCTGTTCAAAAAAGAAGAAGAAGGGCTGGAGCAATAGCACAGTGGGTAGGGCTTTTGCCTTGCACGCGGCCGACCCGGGTTCAATTCCCAGCATCCTATATGGTCCCCTGAGCACCTCCAGGAGTAATTCCTGAGTGCATGAGCCAGGAGTAACCCCTGTGCATCGCTGGGTGTGACCCAAAAAGAAAAAAAAAGAAGATAAGAATAAAGGGTGAAATAACGTGTGTGGACAGCACAGTTTTAGAAACACTTTTATACGCTATCTTAGTACAAGCAAAGAGAAAAAATAGGGCATAGGAGAAGAAAAGGTAGGTAATGAGGTAAGGAAAGACAAAGCTCAGGAGGAGAAATAGGTGAATGAAATTAGAACCAGAGAGTGACAGGAAAAGAGAGAGGAACAAGGATGAAGCTGAAGTGGGCAAAGCCTTCTGAACGCTGGTGCCTCTTACCTAGGAAGATTTCTGTAAGAATAACTAGCTGGACTTCCTGTTCAAAGGGGGAGATAATTTTATACTCTATAGTGGACTGTAGAAAAGGGTAATTGAAATATACCCTCCTGAAGTTTGTTCTCCACTACTGTTACTATTTGTATGTTTCATCCTCTAGCAAATTTGTTTATGGGGGAATTCTGACAAATCCACCTTTCACAACAGATGTTGATGTTGTTTTGACTCATGCATTCTGCAAATATGCCTTGAAAAACGGTTGTGAACCACGTACAGTTTCAGGTGCCGGGGACCAGAGATGAAAGGCTAGAAAAAAGCCCCTGATTTCACCGATCCTAATTGTAGCCAGAAGGACAAAAGTAAACCAGTAGAGGGGCTGGAGCGATAGCACAGCAGGTAGGACGTTTGCCTTGCACGCAGCCAACATGGCCAACACAGGTTCGATTCCCAGCATCCCTTATGATCCCCCTAGCACCGCCAGGAGCAATTCCTGAGTGCATGAGCCAGGAGTAACCCCTGAGCATCGCCGGGTGTGACCCAAAAAGCAAAAATAAATAAATAAATAAACCAGTAGAGTTGTTTGTTTTCAAATAAGGTAATAGCATAACGGCTATTATAATAGATAACAGTTTCTAACGGCTGGGGTTAATAAGAACATAACGATTGTGAATAAGGATAGGAGAGGCGTGGACCAGAAGAATTTCATCTGTGGGTGGGTAGTCAGGGAAAGCTGCCCGTAAGGAGAGATGGTTAAGTAGTTACATGAGCAATGAAGAGGAGATGACAGATGGAGAAGTGCCCCCCACCTGGGGGAAGAGTAACACAGATGAACACCAGTGCACAGACCTTGAGGCTGGATCTTAACTTGTTTTTATCTTTATTTTTTGGTTTGGGGGCCAAATCCAGAGGTGCTCAGAGATCACTCCCAGTGGTGCTCTGCTCGGGGTTCAGTCCAGGCCAGGTAGGGACTTGGGAGTGGCCAGTCTATATGGAGGCTAATGAAATCAATGGTAATTTATCAGTCTAAGGAGAGAACTGTTAAGAGTTTAACACTTGTGGGGCTGGATTGATAGCACAGTGGGTAGGGTGTTTGCCTTGCACGCAGCCAACCTGGGTTCGATTCCCAGCATCCCATACGGTCCTCCGAGTATCGCCAGGAATAATTCTTGAAAGCATGAGCCAGGAGTAACCCCTTGTGCAATGCCAGGTGTGACCAAAAGGAAAAAAAATAAAGACTAACACTTGTAAGCTGAGCATGGGGTGCCAAAGGGTTCAACAAAAGACACAGAAAGAGAGAGAGAGGGGGGTATTACTCCCAGAGCACAATAGAAGTGCACATCACACCTCGAAGAGCCAGCTGGGAAAGCCAAAGCGAAGTGCAGACAGATGCATGCATTTATTAGGGTTTTTTGTTGGAGCTCTTGGGAGTTTGATGGCTAAGGCCAGGTCAGTTCATTCAGACCCTGTAGTAAGTTCCACTGGGGTTTGTTCTCAGGAGCACACAAGAGCTAGGCTCTGAGACAGAAGGGAGATTTCATGAGGAGATGTCTTGAGAAACCTTATCTAGAACTGAGATTTGCTGCATATTCTGGGCTGTTCCATTGGCACGCATTTGCGAGAAGGGTCTTAATTCAAGGCCCTGCACAGCTTGCTTGGCCAAGCAAAATGATTACTAGAAGTCTCAATCCTGGAGAGTAGCTTAGCTAAACTCACAGCAGGGATTCATCACGCCAGGCAGAGCAATCTGGGGGTTGAACTCAGGAAAAGTGAATATGCAGGGATTAAGTGTTACAAACTTGACAGTAAAGAATAGAGGCGACCCCCAGACTCTGGTAGGAGGATCCTGTTGACAATGTGGATTAGACTAAGGGGTCTTTGGTTGCCACAAGAAGAAGAGGAATTCACACTTTTCTTTTTTGCTTTTTGGGTCACATCTGGTGATGCACAGGGGTTACTCCTGGCTCTGCACTCAGGAATCACCCCCGGCAGGGCTCAGGGGACCATATGAGATGCTGGGAATCGAACCTGGGTCGGCTGCGTGCAAAGCAAACGCCCTACCCGCTGTGCTATTGCTCCAGCCCCGGAATTCACACTTTAGATCTTACATCACCAAGTGCTAAATTATCACATTTTCTGGACTTAATTTTCTATGAAGTACTAGAAATTGTACTGTCTCTCTATTTATGCATGCGATTTAATCAGATAGGCTGCAGTTTCATCATCAGAAAAAAAGCGGGGGGCGGGGAGGGAAAGCAGGAGCGAGAGAGATAACACAGGAATTAAAGTATTTGCCATGCATACAGTGTAGATGATGATGGTTTGATCCCTAACAATCTACATGTGGTCCTTTGGTCATCAACTAGGGTCAGGAATAACCCAGTCCCTGAATATTTCTGGGTATAACCAACACACCCTACTTCACCCCCATCTCCCACCTACACACACACACACACACACACACACATGCGCGCACGAAAAACATAATCTTAGGATTTGTCTTTGAATGTTCTGCACTCATAATAAACAGATTAGTGTTTTGCAGATACATTCTCCCACTCCTAAGGATGCCTTTTTCATTTTTTTTTAATGGTTTTCTTTGTCCAACAAAAGTTTTTCACTTGGGTGTAATTGCACTTGTTTATTATTTGCCGGTGTTGCCTGGTGCTTACAATTATAAATCGGATGTTCCTTTAACAGTGAAACTGCAAGCTGAATTAGTGGTGAACTCTTAAATCTTCAAAGCTCCACCTTTTCCCACTAGTGGCCAGAACTGTATGCTTTGCCGTTCTCTGGGTTAGGCAGGGCAGGAGAGGTAGTGAGTAGGGCACACAGCCCACTTGGTGCTACACAGTGAGGAGGTAACACAGGCAGGAGGAAAGCCTGAACACCGCCAGGTGTGCCCCCTGACCCAACCAAAAGGAGCAACACCAAGACTAGGAATGAAATACTTATTTCAGTCTTTCTGCTTTGGCTTGTTGCAGGACACATACATATGTCACACCATTACCCAGAGTTTTGCCATGGGCTCCATTTCACCCCGAGATTTTGTCGACCTGGTGTACATCAAGCGCTGTGATGGAAATATGGATGTGATTAGTTGTAAGTTACAAACATTTGCTCATACTTGGGAATGACTGCGAATCATTTTTTTTACTTCCACAACTTAAAAGAAACTACATTCATAGTCATTTTTGTACTTAATAAGACCGATGTTAATATCGATAAATGTAGCACCACTATTTAACCGATGACACCCCGTGACTTTTCTAGTATATACCCTGCAGTAAGAGTATAAATAGATACTTGTGGGCTAGAAGCAAAAAAGGGGGAGTAGGGGTTGGCCACACATGGCAGTGCTCAGGGCTTATTCCTAGTTCTGTGCTCAGGGAACACTTCTGGTCAGCTTAGGGGACCATATGGGGTGTCGAAGGTCAAACCTGGTTCAGCCAAGTGCAAGGCAAATGCATTACCCAATGTACTATCTTTCCAGCCCCAGTAGTCTATACTCCTAACATACTAAGAATTAAAATTAATTTGAGGGTGAAAATTTTATATTTTAATTACTTAGACTGGGTATGTCCAATCACTTGTATAATTTGTATCACTTGTCATCCCGTTGCTCATCGATTTGCTCAAGCAGGCACCAGTAACGTCTTCATCCATCCATCGTTGCGTGCTAGTGTAGCCCAATGGTGTCTGCTTGCTCCAGTAACAATAACGGACCTCATTCCCCTCACCCTGACCCTGGCATGACAAATAACTGATTTTTAAAAACAACCTCCTAAAAAAAGAAAATCACAAGGTAAAATTTTTTTCGGGGGTGGACCACACCCCATGTTGCTGGGGGCTTACTCCTGGCTCTTAGAGGACTTGCATTACCAAGCCCCCAGGAGTGATCCCTGAGCAGCACAGCGTAGTCCAAAGGAAGCCCCTGAGTACTGCTGGATACACCTCAAAACAAAACAAAATGTAATGGTTTTGTAAATGTTTAATGGTCTAAAATATTGACAGCAGAACATATCACAAAAAAATCCATAAACCCACTAACATAATATTCTTTTTTTCTGTGTGTTTTGCTTTAAATCTCAGTAAGTAAATGCTTTTATTATTTTTTACATTTATTAAGTATAAAAGTTTCTGTGTGCAAAAGGCAACAACATATTTAGAAATACTGTTTTGGGAGCTGGAGCAATAGCACAGTGGGTAGGGTGTTTGCCTTGCATGCGGCCGACCCCTGTTCTCTTCCCAGCATCCCATATGGTCCCCCAAGCACCACCAGGAGTAATTCCTGAGTGCAGAACCAGGAGTAACCCCTGAGCATCGCTGAGTGACACCCAAAAAGCAAATAAATAAATAAATAAATAAATAGAAAGAAATACCATTTTGAAGCCGATGAAACTCCCAGGTAGACCTGCCCCTGGGCTGAAACTTTTGGGGCCTTCTCAGGAAGGGGCCAGGCCACATCCTTGGGCATATGAAGGGTTCTGCTTCACAACTAATCTCCACAGACACCAAACGCTGGATCACCCCACTTCCACTGTCCCTGTAGCACATGGCAGCATGTGCGGCCACATGACACATCCAAATTTCACGATACTGACAGCCCCCAGTAGGAGTATAAAAATTATAGTGGGAAAGTGGCACTGAAGCTCAGTAAGTTTGTTCTACAACAGACACAGCTCAGTAAATCCTCAGACAAGGACTTTGATAACATCATTGCGAGATAGAACAATTTTGACAAATGTTTGTTTACTGAACTTTTTTGATAATTCCACTTGCCATTTTTTGTAACAAATAATGTAAAATCATTTTGTGCCTGCTAAGGAGACAGGCTTCAGGGGGTGGGTGGGAAACTGGGGACAATGGCAGAGAAAAGGTCACACTGGGGGTGGGGTTGGTGTTGGAACATTGAATGCCTGAAGCAACTATGTTATAAACAACTTTGTGAAAAACAGTGCTTAAATTTAAAAACCATATACTTCATAAAAAAGTTTAATATGACAGTAGTGTTCAAAGTTGGTTTGTGTATACATATAAATATGAAAACATACATATACTTCTTTTGAACTCATGTTCTGACAGTAACTGTATTATATGCTATGTCATATGTACTTTTTTACTAGCTATTAAAAGTAGAATTTTCCATATCTCTGGAATAAGATTCGTTCTTAATTTTTTTTAAATCACTAGCTAATAGTGTGGATTTTCCAGCATATCCCCCATCTTCAAATTACATCCGTGGTTATAATCATCCTTGTGGATATATATGTTCACCTCTGAAAGAGTAAGTGGTATTTGCATTTAGTTTCAACAGTTTTTCAGTTGAAGCTGTGATTTGTTAATTAAGGGATTATGGGTCCTAGTTCATCGAACTAATTGGCAGAATATTCTGCAGGGAAATAAATGCAAATTTAATTTTAAAATTAAAAATGTTTAACTTTCAATGAGGTGTTGGACCACCCCTGAAAGTGCTGGAGAGGAAGTTCCAGTTCTGCACTCAGGGAACTGTGTGATGCTGGGAATAGAACCTAGGCCTTCCACATGCAAAATATATTTCTCATTTCTTGAGCTGGGTCCCTGATAGATCTTAACAGTAATTGTAAAGTATTTTCATCTTAAGTATTATAAATGTTAATACGTGTATAGATGTGTGTTTTTCTCTTTCTTTTTCCTGTGTGTGTGTTTGAGCCACACTCAGCAGTACTCAAGGATCATTCCTGCTAGGGCTTGGTGGACCATATCGGTTACTAGAGATTGAACCCCGGGTTGGCCATGTGAAAGTCAAGAATCCTCCCACTATACTATCTCTCTGACCCCTGTGACCATAAGTAATAAGTGGACATATATATATATATATATATGTATATATATATATATCTCCTACGTTAAGTTGTTATTACATGTTAACTAAAATCCAAAGTATACTACAAAATAGGTCATATTATGATTAAATACAAAAAAAGTTGTTGTTGGGGCTGGGAAGATAGGACAGCGGTTAGGCTGCCTGTCAAGTACACGGCCAACCCAGGTTTGATCCTAGTCATCCCAGAAGGTCCCCTGAGCACTGCCAGGAGTAATTCCTGAGTGCAAAGCTGGGAGTAACCTCAGAGAATCGCTGTGTGTGGCCCAAGAGTGAAAAAAAAACAAACAAACCAAAAAAAAAGCTGTTGTTGGAAATAACTATTATTACCAGCAAAACTTAGACATGTGCTAGGCACTGTTGTCAACAGTTTACAAATATGAACTCTTTTGGTCTTCAAAATAACTCCACGAACTCTTGACTGTTCCATTTTGCAGAAAATAAAATGGAACCACAGAGAGATTAGTTATTAGGTTTCAAATAGGTATAGCTGATTTCGGCTTCAGACACGAGTAGTTCCAGTCTTAGTGACTACAGTTATTACATGGGTTAAAATAGAAAGTCTATTTCTAGTGGTCATTTGAATCCCATTAAATTCTTCTGAGTTATGTACCTACCATAAATTACATTTTAGCCTATAATTAGAAGATATTTTTAATGTGCAAAAAGGTTGACAACTCATTCTTCCAACTCTGTTGAAAGCAAAAATATCGATAACTTCACTTAGAAAAGGAACTATCACCCAATTAACAGTCATTTCCTCTCTCAATTTCCAGTCGATCACATTTTCTCATTGGTATCATAAAGACTTATCTCTAGATCAAGTCCCCTACTACCATTTCAGATTGACAGTAGAATACTTTTGTTCTATAACACAAGAAAAGGATGTTTGTGGACAGGCTGGTGGGGAAGGAAAACCTCCATTTCTATTAGACATTGTCTCCGTTTGGTTTAAAGAGAAAGAATACATAAGGAAGTTAGAGGCTTGAAAGTCCATTCCCTTAGTCCTTGTGACTGAAAACTGCAGGGCTTCTCAGAGTCAGGGTGGGCAACCTCCACCCACCTCCTTGTACTTCCTGAAGCCCCAGCAGTCATGGCCACATCTCACTGTTGCCACAGCTTACCTAGCAGCCTTGTTCCAGAGGCTCAAATAAATCTCTAAAGAGATCACCTAGCTGCAAAAATTTATTGGACACTCGTTCCCAGCTTAAAATCCCAGGGTGCTCCTAGAGTGAGGTGGGCTAGCTCCTTTCAAAACAAAACCCTGAGAGCTGCTCCCACACCCCAAAGCCACAGCCCAGTTTAAAATTGAACTCCAGCCAGACTGTCCAGTTAAGAATTCTGGATTTTCTGGAGTGCATGACCATGTGGTCATGCAACATCTCCAGTATCTACAACACTGACATCCCAGTAGTAGACGGATGGTATGTGACACGGAAATCAACCAAACTTGCCTAACAAGAACACAAAAACAGATTGTTAACTTGCAACAACAGTTTGGTAAACTCCCAGGCATCTTAATATCCCCATGGTAAGATGCAACAATTTTCACAGATTTTCTTCTATGGAATTTTTTTTTATCATTCCATTAGTCATTAAGGGATAACAGGTCATGGTCCTCCCATTGTTCATTGATTTGCTCGAGTGGGCCCAGTAACATCTCCATTGTGACACTTGTTACTGTGTTTGGCATATCGAATACGTCATGGGGAGCTTGGCAGGCTTTGTCGTGCAGGCAATATACTCTCGGTAGCTTGCCGGGCTCTCCTAGAGGGGCAGAGGAATTGAACTCGGGTCAGCCATATTGGCTGCATGCAAGGCAAACACCCTACCGCTGTGCTATCGCTCCAGCCCAAGGGATAACAAGCAATATAAAATAAATTGTTGTCATTCTGCTATGGGGCAGGCTTGAGGGGTAGTTGGGAAAATGGAGACAATGGTAGAAGGAAGTGTGTGAGCCAGGAGTAACCCCCCGTGCATCATCGGGTGTGACCCACCCCCAAAAAAAGGCTGCCTAAAACTGAAACCATTAAGATATGTTCTACTACTTTCTTAGGATTTTTATATAAAATGTCTATGTGGTTGCAAATCACTCTTACTTTTCACTTCAATAATTACTTGTGCTATATAAGGCCTATGGATGGGTTGGACAAATCAAAGGCAAGAAAGCCAAGAATTCTGCTTTCTATAAACTTGCAAATTCAACAAATAAATATTAAAGTTCTTTACATATTTTAGTTTTTCCTTTGCTTACAGGAATCCAGCACATTCCAAACTAGTGATGTTTGTCCAAACAGAAATGAAAGGGAAATTGTCCCCATCAATCATTGAAGCTACGATGCCCTCCACCTTAGTGAGCTTCATCCTCAATGCAAAAGATGGATTGAAGAGCCATAAAACTCAAGGATGTGGGCATCGGCATACTCCTGCTGGCCATTCATCATATCTGAAGAAGAAGTGAAGCTATTCAGCCTCAAAATTACGTGTGGAATTTACTGCAGTCTACTTCTGAGTCAGTGAACATAAACACGTCAACTGTTCTAGAACGTATTCTTGTACAGCTTACTGAAGGTACTTTAATGAAAATAACCCATAATTGTGTAAGAGAAGAACACAAAGTACCAATTCTAATATCAAATCTAAGACTAAGCAATAAGGATTCTGTAGGTGTTTTTGTTTACCCACCTTGAAAAAATGCCTTGCAAAATGAGTAAGAAAGAATACGCAGTCAGAGGTTAGCGTTACTTCACTGTAGCACTGTCCTCCCGTTGTTCATTGGTTTGCTTGAGCGGGCTGAGTAACGTCTCCATTTTGAGACTTGTTGTTACTGTGTTTGGCATATTGAATACATCACGGGTAATTTGCCAGGCTTTGCTGTATGGGTGAGATACTCTCGGTAGCTTGCCGGGCTCTCCAAGAGGGCAGAGGAATCAAACCCGGCTCAGCCAGGCTGGCTGTGCGCAAGGCAAACGCCCTACCGCTGTGCTATTGCTCCAGCCTTAGCATTAAAGATTAAAATATATTGCAGATTTTATATTTCCTTCACATACTGCCTCAAATGAACAAAACAGGGAAACGTGAATATGAAAATTGAAAAGAATTTCATTATGATCAGTGTCTAGAATTTATAATTGTCCAGATTGTGAATCAATGTCTGGTCAAGCTGTAATAAGTCAGTTGTTCCAAGTCTTTCCATTTAACCACTGAGAGACCATGAACATGAACAAGTTACAGGATCTCTCTGCATGGAAAGTGGCAAGGATGGGGTTGGAGCGATAGCACAGCGGGTAAGGTGTTCGCCTTACTCGCGGCCAACCCAGGTTCGACTCCCAGCATCCCATATGGTCCCCCGAGCACTGCCAGGGGTAATTCCTGAGTGCAGAGCCAGGAGTAACCCCTGTGCATCCCCGGGTGTGACCACCCTCCCCCCCAAAAAAAGCAAAAAAAAAAACACTGGGATGCAAACAATGGAAAACAAAGGTTAAACTGCTGAGGGGTTTATTGATTTCACACAAGTTCACACTATGTATCATAAACAAAACTTAGCAAGCCCAGTGATCTTCTGAACCAAAGACACTGTTTGATAGATATTAAGGTTCCTCTAGCTTTATAAAATTCAATAAATTCTTGGTTCAATATTTGTCTAAGGTAGACTTGTTGCACTCACCAAAAATCATGAAATATAAAAACTTAATCCATTCTTCACTTTGGATAACATGACACTTGAAAAACTAGCCCAGTTTACTTATTTCCCTCGTAACTTTATATAACTCATGCCCCAAAGAGACTGGGAAATTCAACACTTCCGCTTGTTCGTCTCAAAGAAAGGACCGATGGACCTGGAGGCGAGCGACCTGAGTGAGGTCCAAGGACAGGGCGGTACGAGATGCTCTCTCGTGTGTGCAGTGATATAGCAGGGCAGCAGCTGTGGACCAAAGCCCACAGGACACTGCTGATTTGTGAAGGGGGTTAAGAGGGAGGGGCTGCGGGGTGCTTGGGGGAGGGAGGGGCCCTCAGTCACGCTTTGCCACTAGTGTGCGGGAACACAGTTGAAAGTAGCCAAGCGCCACAACGAAATGCCCAACGCCCCAGAGAGCACCCAAGCCGGTGCCCCTGAACACAAAGAAGAAAAAGAACGAAATCTGGTCCAGTATCTATATAAATCGTTTCAGTAATTCGGGGGCATTGGAAGACCTCCTGGCTGTCCTCGGGGGCTACTCCCAGCTCTGTGGCTGGGAGTGAGTCCTGGCAATAACCCCCTTGGGGGGTCCATGCGGTGTCAGGGATGGAATCCGGACGTTTTCATGCAGAACCTGCATTCTACCTGTAGAACTCTCTCCGGCCCCTTAAATAAGTTCATGAATCAATTTTCCACTTCCCCTCTCTCTGCTGCTCCTGGGGGAGCCCCCTCACACTGGGCGGGGTGCTTGCTGAGCTGCGGGGGGTGGGGGTGGGGTGGGGAGGCGACGCTGCTGGTCACAGTGCTTCCAGCCCATCTCCATTTCAGTGCTCAGTGGCAGGAGCACTTTTCTGTGCGGTGCTCACACTCACCTGGTGTGGCGTGGCCACGGCTTGCAGCGCACCTGGGTCCACGGCCCTGGCACAGGGAGCATCACAGGGACGGCACCTAAGGCCTCCAGCCTGCAAGGGAGGCACCCTCAGGTGCTGGACGGTCTCCTGACTCTCTTAAGGTCATTTTACAATGTTATTTCCAAATTTATATTTTCTTTTGGGGGAGGCAAGGCTGGAGCAATAGCACAGCGGTAGGGCTCTTTGCCTTGCACACAGCCAACATGGCCGACCCGAGTTCGATTCCTCTGCCCCTCTCGGAGAGCCTGGCAAGCTACCGAGAGTATCTCGTCCACAGGGCAAAGCCTGGCAAGCTACCCATGATGTATTGGATATGCCAAACACAGTAACAACAAGTCTCATGATGGAGACGTTACTGGGCCCGCTCGAGCAAATCGATGAACAACAGGAGGACCATGGCCGTGACCTTTTGGGGGAGGTAGGGTCACACCCGGCAATGCGCAGGGGTTATTCCTAGCTCATGCACTACACTCCTGGCAGTGCTGGGGGGGAAGGCACCATGTGGGATGCTGGGAATTGAACACAGGTCAGCTGCGTGCAAGGCAAACGCCCTACCCGCTGTACTATTGCTCCAATCCCGCAAATTTATATTTTCAGAAATTTGATCTCTCAGAATTGTTATTTCTGATTTTAGGGATTTTGGTCTTCCGTTATTCCTATGCTTGTAATGGCATTAGGACAGTGTCAGAACTATAAACCCCAAACCTTTTTATTTTTCTTTTTGGGTCATACCCAGCGATGCAAAGGGGTTACTCCTGGCTCAACACTCAGGAATTACTCCTGGCAGTGCTCGGGGGACCATATGGGATGCTGGGAATCGAACCCGGGTTGGCCACGTGCAAGGCAAACGCCCTACCCACTGTGCTATCACTCCAGCCCCCCAAACCTTTTTAGCATGCATAGTGGTGAAAGCAAAGGAACCAATATATATTATACAGCTTTTCTTGAGTGCCTCACTGGCTCATTTTTTTCTGCCTTTTGGGCCACACCCAGTGATGCTCAGGGGTTACTCCTGGCTCTGTACCACTCCTAGTGGTGCTTGGGGGACCATATGGGATGCTGGGGATCGAACCTGGGTGGGCCATGTGCAAAGCAAACACCCTACCCACTGTACTATCTTTCCAGTCCACTCACTGAGTATTTAGGGAAGGACACCCAGACATTTGGTATGAAGACATTCTGACGTAGAATCCATTGAGTGTAGTTGTGGTTTTTCGCATATTTTGACAAAGTGGGTTTTATAGAGGTACAAATAAATGAAAACTTTATTGAGTAAATTCCTCAGATAATGGCAAAATGGGTTAAGCATTTCTACAAAGACACCCAAAATTGGAAATATTAATAGAAGCAAAAATTAACAAAAATACAGCAGTGCTGAGACTTTACACTTAACGTGAGATATTTGTCACATTACACAGTAAACAACAATGACAGCTGAGCGCACAAAAGCTAGCGATAAAATTATCAAGACTATCTGAAATAGGTGTTACATCAAGTAAAAATGTACAGTGAATTTCACCATAAACGTCCGTCATGTCTTTAGGTATTATCCAGAAACAGCAGTAAAGCTCGTTTTAAAGTGAAAATAGGAGTCTATTGAATTGAACATTGATTTTGGACAACAGATTAGCACTAAAATCAGTATTTGGCCAAGACAAAGCCAGTTTCTGTTAACATCATTATAGAATGAATTCGTCATAGAATGAATGGCGACATAAAAATAAATCAGGGCCGCAGAGACAGTACAGCAGTAGGGCGCTTGCCTTGCACATTGGGAGGGCCCAGTTTCAATCCACAGCACCACATATGGTCCCCCAAGCCCCTCCAGGAGTAATTCCTGCAAACTGTCTGAGAGCCAGGAGTTAAGTCCCGCAAACTGTCAGGTATAGTCCATAAGCAAAAACAATAAAATTTTTAAAAATCAGATTTCTTAAAAAATATATTACAATTTTGTTTTAAAATTCTAGCAGTCAACATTTTAGAGTTTGGTATGAAAGTGCAGGAAAAATATTTTTACTGCTGCCAGTTTCTACACCATTCCTGCAGAAACAATATTATTCCATCTGTGATACTCTGGTCCAAGTGGTTTACATAATGACTTTACTTTTAGGGATGTGAAGTCTGGGAAAAGGAACTTCAGCTCAAGTTCATTCTGAATTATTCATAGCTTTGGAGAACCTCAAAAACACTTTGTCTTTAATGAAACAAGTCTATAATAGTCTTGATTTTGTTGTTGGGCCACACCCGGCTGTGCTGAGGGTTTACTCCTGGCTCTGTGCTCACGAATCACCCCGGGCAGGTCCACAGACCATATGGGATGCTGGGGATTGAACCCAGGTTGGCCACCTGCAAGGCAAGTTGTACTATCCGCTGTACCATCTATCTCTCCGTTACAGTAATCATTTTGATAAACTTGGAAATTTTAACCTTCTTGTTTGGAGGCTGAGGGTTTGGCAGCAAGGCACAGGCCTCACACGTGAAATTCTGGGTTTGAGCTCCAGAACCCCTGAACGAAACAAGGCTATTTCTTACCCAAAGGAAGTCAAGGGCCCAGAGGCATTTTTATCCTAATCCACGCAGTGGGTGCTTTGCTGGTATTTTTGGCCATGGCCCATTAACGCTCAACTGCTTCTCCAAGCTTTCCTCGCCTCTACTTCTGGGTCAGGCTTCTGCAGGACTAAATCCTTGGGCTTTTTATCTCAGGGAGCCTAACCTGGCATACCTTGAGTCTCCCACTGGGTTTAGGAAAACGCCCCGGGAGTAAGGCTAAGGTGAGCCTGACTTTGCCTGTGTGAATCAGACAATCACACTCTTGACCTTTGATCTAACACCTTGAGCCTCTAAGAGGTAGTTTAGCTAAGCTAACACAACATTTAATTGTGAAGCTCTAGCTACCGTTTCACCTTTTAATTTCTGCGTACAATCTGAGCAGTTTGTTTGTTTCTGGAAACGCAACCCTTACTGATGTAGCTTTCGCCTCAGCACCTGTAGTCCACAAGGTGGCGCTGTCGACATTCCTGGTGCTGTCCGTTCCCAAAAGCCAAACATTCCTTTAGGTCTATTCCGCCTTTTCAAATGTTTCACATCGGTGCCTTAATAAAGCAATGTCCTCACAATACTCAACTGCCCATAGCCCCAGAGCCAAACCTCATTGTTTTGTTGCACAGCTCCCAAATTCCAGGAACCAACTTCTGTAGCCAACCAAAACAATGCCACAAAACCACCACACTTTGTTGTTATTGACTCAGCAAGAGGGAACGTTCATAAGTCTTGAGATTTGCCTTCACAGCAATGTAACTGTCAATTTTTTCCCCTACCCAATGACTTGAAAATCGCTCATGAAGAGGTAGGGTGGATTTGGGGGTCCTAATCCAAGGTGCTGGGGGCCTACTTCCAGCTCTGTGCTAAGGAACTGTTCCATACAGCGCCTTCTGAAGGCAAACCACCTCTCTGGCACAATAATTATTTTATACATAAAATCAGTCCCACTTAGGGGCTGGAGATAGTGCAGAAGGCAGGGTGTCTGCCTTACAAACGACTGACCTGGGTTCCATCCTCAGCGGCCCACAGATTCCCACAAGCCCCGTCATACTGATCCCTGAGCATTCATTAAAAAAAAAAAAAAAAGCAACAAAAGACACAGATCACCTACATGACTGTCTTTAATCACAGATGTTTCCCGAGGCCAGGCTGGAGAGCATTCCTCCTTCAGTTCCCTAGTCTCTATATTATGCTATCTTGTTTCAAATATCTACACAAGGCCCATTTTCCTGACCAAAACAACATTTAAAAGAAGATTAGAGTTTTCCCAAATGATTTTTTGCTATTTTTAAAAGACCAAAAGGTTAAAGAAATATACAGCGAGTAGGGCATTTGACGCTGGTTCAATCCATGGCACCACAAGGAGATCCCTGAGCACTGAGCCAGAAGTGAGTCTGTCACCGCTGGGTGTGGGTCCCCCAAAAACAAACAGATAAAGATTTTAAGTATTATAAACTTTATTATATAAAAAATATAATAATTACAATTTAGGAAAGAAAGGATACCCAAATATCTCCAAAGGAGAACTTCACCACTATGTATTCAAAGTGGAAGACAGACCAAAACTCGAGACATAATTGGTAACATCAATCAGCTGTATAGGACATGATTACCTTGGGAGAGCACATCTCCTTCTTGCGGGAAAATAACTCGTACAGATAATATTGCAAGCTAAAAGCATGAGAGCAAATTCCATTCTCCTGATAATTTATTCATGTGATAGTGTGAAGAGAGAGAAATGCAATAAATTAGAAAATGAAATCACGGAGTCTATAGACGAACCAAACTTCAGACCCACACAAGGCATGAACAGGGATGTCCACAACTCCTGCAGGACTGTCCTCTGGATAAACTGAGGAACTACAGGGAAAATAATCCTGAAGGACATAAAAGACACAAGAACAGGGCGGGGAGCAGTGCCAGGAGGATCACCCCCAAATCTTGCCCATCATCTTCCTAGACCTGGGGTTGAGCTGCCAGTGTGAGATCAAGCTGGTTCAAGCTTCCACTGTTGCTGATGTGTCCCAGGAAAGGAGGACCAGTATCTTCCAGAGGGATCCACCAGATTCAGGCCTTGGGAGTCCCGCAGATAGAACCCAAGACAGGAGCAGACTCTACAGTTTCAGGAGTGCCAAGGCAGGGCTCTGTGGTAGAGCACTAGCCTTGCTTGAGTGAGGTCAGGGGTTTGAACCCCACACCACATACCCCGCCCATCCCAGTACCACTAGCAAGCCCCACGCTGCAAGCCAGAGCAGCTGGCAAGCACTGCCAAGTGGAACCCTGCCCCCAAAATTAAGTGATTCAAGTAAAAAAAAATCTATACACCTAAATAACAAGAATTAACTCCACCAGAGAATTTGAACATTTGTATCTTCTAATACAGAATAAAAAATGACTACGTTGTGAGTCCAAGGAAATACCCTAAGGGAAGGGCACATATGGCACATGTGGGAGGCCCCGGATTTGACCCTCGCACCCCCTTCTGCTTCTACAAAGGACTGCGTTGAAAATAGTGAGGGAAATACAGCCCACTAAATGGGTGGGTCTAACACAGCGAAGTGGAAGAGAAAGTCAGGCCAGGATGAGAAACCTGACGATTGCTTCCGTACCGCGTCTCCTCAGAAGCTGGGCTGCGACCCTTTTGCTGGCGCAGCTTGGCTCCAGTGCCCAGAAGGCAGTGGATTTTGCGTTCGCTTCTGGTAGTCATGGCACGTCTCCCTGCCTCCCAAGTCTTGGACTTGGGAGGCCATTCAGCCAAAGACCTCACTCCAGATCCCAAGCCCCGGTCTCAGGAACCAGGCTCTGAAGCGTGAGGGGAGCGTGGGAGGCAGACAGCGCAAGGGGACAGGGCCAAGAACTTGCCAGTCTGTTGGAGCTACAGCTGCCCGGCGACTAAGTGACAGGCCATGTCAACAAAAGGCTGGGATGACAGCCTAGCGGGGAGGGCATGTGCCTTGCACGGGGCCAACCCGGGTTCAATTCCCAGCATCCCATATGGTCCCCTAAGCACCACCAGGAATGATTCCTGAGTGCAGAGCCAGGAGTAGCCCCTGTGCATTGCCGGGTGTGACGCAAAAAAAAAAAAAAAAAAAAAAAGAAAAGAAAACCCCAAGTGAGCACTGTTCTGTGAGCTACCCAGAGAAAGCAACGTTAAACCTGGATGCAGGAGAAGGCAGGGCTAGCCCTGAACCTGAACTTTAAGAAACAGCCCCTGCCCGAAAAGAACAGTGAGTGGAGCTGGTGCTCTGGTGAAAAAGGAGACTCCACCTAATTGGGTGCCTGTGAAGATTCTAGAAGCACTTAAGAGGAAAGATAACAAAAACAGGAAGGAAAAAACATTAAGACCAGCTGAAGTAATTCATGCTGCTGCTGTACTGATAATGTGACTCATTCGAGGCTTTCCAGACTCAATGAAGTTTTAGACTTACTTAGATCGGGGGAGGGGGGATTGGGTGGTGTGTGTGCGCCATGTCCACGCACATCAAACAGCTCAGCCATACCCAGGGCCCTCCCAAGCAGCATTTTAAAGGAATGAAACCTTTACATCTAGGATTAATACAAAACAGAGACAATGTAGGCAATCTCTGCAGAAACCTAGCAACAAACAAAGTTCTCTGGAGCAGTGGGCAGAAGAGCTGGAGAGACACAATTCCCCAGACATCCCGGGAGCCAACACACACCTGGGCACGTACGTCCTCATCCTCACCCATGCCAGCAAAACCAAATCAACAGGATGTGGGTCATCTCACGCTGGTGAGAGAGGCCTGTTTCCAAAAGGCCAGACACAAGAGGTGGTGGGGATGTGGGGGCGAGGAGTGGGGGGAAGGACCCCTTTCTCTGCTGGCGGGAGTGTGAACTGGTTCAGTCTCCAGGGAAAACATCACAGCAAGCAAAACCAAATGTGGGCTGGGTAGATCTCTGTGGAGGGCTTTCTGCTGACAAAAGGGGGAGGGGGGTGCTGTGTAACTATGAAAGGACCTGCTTTTCAGGTGATGACGCCCCACATCTATTGTTCTAGCCTCTGGCTGAGCTCATCTAGCTGAAGTAAGAAGTCATGCAGGGGGCCCTTGACAATGAATTTCCAGAAGTAATAACACTCAGATGTACTCGAAAACATTCCACACCGCCCCAAGACTAAAGACCATTCCCCAGGAACAAAGGCCTGTTACACGGAAGACCCCCCAGCCCCTTGTCCATGATAACCCTCCAGCAATTGGCTCTTGGCAGAAAGCCCCAAGCAGAAGTCGTGCAAAATCAGCCTTGCCCAATGCTCCCTGGACACCTGGGTCTGCAGTGTCTGCACCACCCTATTAGGGGCAAAGAATTTCTTTTATTACACAGGGTCCTTTTCTCTCCCACAATTTTTTTTGGCCACACCCAGTGATGCTCAGTAATTATTCCTGGCTCTGCACCCAGGAATCACTCCCGGCAGTGCTCAGGGGAACATACAGGATGTCAGGGATCAAACACAGGTCGGACTGCATGCAAGGCAAGTGTCCTACCCACTGTACTAGCACTTTAGCCCCTCCCATAATTATTTAAAAAAAAAAACATATTTTGCTTTGCCAAGTCCTCCTAAAATTCCAGGTTATTACAAGAGAGAAAATAAATTTAATTTTTTTTAAATTCGTGATTATGAAAAGCCAAGATAAATGATAACCTGGAAAAGTCCGATACTGACGCAGTAAGATACCAAGAGACTAGCTCTGTGCTTGTTATCCGGTTCACAGGCCTGGCAGTGCTCAGGCCCATTAAAAAAGGCCCATTCCCAACTTGGCCTTCAGGATGACTCACAGCCACGCACAGCTGGGGACGGAAGCCAGGTCTCCTGACCCAAGCACGAGCTCTGTCCTCTGGAGCTGTCTTGAGCCCGTAAAGATTAACTTCAGGTCACAAATGAGCAAGAAAGCTGTGACATGGCCCCATATTTACACTTCAGAAAGGTCTTTTTCCTCTCTTTTTAAACTGGCCGAAACCACTTGTTTCCCTGCCACTGTTTCCTGCTTGCTGCACTGGACTACACTAATATGAAGGCAGGGGACAGCAGTCATTCCCAGCAATGCCCAAGGGTCCCTGAGATGCCAGGGATCAAACTCAGGGCTTCTGCATTCAAAATATGTATTCCAATTCTTTGTACTAACTCCCCAACACAACTCCTTTCTTGGTGTGCTACAGAGGCTCAAACCCGAGGCCTCACATACACAGACTCACACAACCTCTCATATTTTTAAAATTCCTGTTGTCCAATAATTTCTGGCTTAAATCATTACAAGGATCACTGGAATTTTTAAACAAATTATCTTTTTTAAAAAGCAATATATTTCTTTTGTGTATCTATTCTACCAGAACACTATATATTGAAAATTCGACTGTTCTTAATCAAGATTACTAAATATTTCCTTAGTGAGTAGTTTCTGATATTCCTGCTCCAAGTTATTAACTCTAAACTCCCTATTAAAAATTCCTGGTGAAGGGGCTGGAGCGATAGCACAGCAGGTAGGGTGTTCGCCTTGCACGTGGCCGACCCGAGTTCAATTCCCAGCATCCCATATAGTCCCCTGAGCACCGCCAGGAGTGATTCCTGAGTGCAAAGCCAGGCATACCCCCTGAGCATCACCAGGTGTAACCCAAAAAGAAAAAAAAATCTTGGTGGATAAGAAATTTCCAAAAGTCAAAGAATCTGAAGTAAAATAAAAGTGCTTACCTAGTAGTGCTTGCTCTAAAGCTACTTTAGAGCTTGTATTTCTGCACCTTAGACTGAGCAAGTCTTTAGATTATCCTGGCAAAGTCTATAAACTTGACAACAAGGATCCCTCAGAAATACAAGTCCTACAGGATACTTCAGTTGCATACTTCTGTCTTGCAAATTATAAAAAGTCCGGAATCTCATATTTTTAATCTGGCAGGCCAAAGGAAAAGGCAGTGATAACAATGGGAGAAGATTCATCAATTTAGTGACTTGTACAATTGTGATTCTGACTGTCTAAATCTCATCTCTAAAATACAGGAAAAATGCAAAATATCGAATCCATATGAATTTCTATTATCAAGCATTGTTAAAAATCTACTGCCTTCTATTTCTGGTGACTGCCGTTCCCTTAATATGCCTGTATGAAGAGTTCCTTCTAGATTGAGAACAGACTCATCTGAGAGCACAGATCTTGCCATCACTTTCTAAGAGTTTTTTTTCTGAATATGAGATTTGTTTTTCTGTACAAAGCGGAAATCTGATCCTGCTCTTTTCCACTCTGCCAGCAGTTCTTTCTGTACCTCTTCTGGCAGTTCATGAAAAACTTCAGGATCAATACCAGAAGGAAAAGTGATTTTCTCTTTAGTCGGCTCTTGCTCTCCGTGTCCTGCAGTTCCACGGTGATGAGAGACGCTGGCTCTCAGCCGCTCTGGGCTGTCTGCAGTGCAGTTTGAGGGGGAAAGTTGCTCACTCTGCAAATCCAGTGTAGTATGATAAACAGAGACAGCAGGGTTTGTGGCCGAAAGAGGAGATCCTGGAGATTCTTCAGCGCCTGGACTCACTCGATCCCCTTTGAGTCTACTGTCTAAATAGGACGAATAATCCTTTGGGTTAGACAAGTCTGAGGAATTACTGCTATTTAAGCCCGATGTTCCTGGTTCACAGATAGACACAGTGGACATCTGCTGGTTATTGGACAAATGATCCCTACGGTTTAAAGGACTTTCTTGCACCTTCTTTGTAGAAAAGAAAGATAAAATTCCCCTAGAGGCAGGCAACGAACACCTCGGACCTGCTTTCAATTGAACTTTTTCTTGAGATTTTCCAGTAAGGATTTCTTCTTGAATATCTACTGGGAGCTGCTTGAAGACTTCCTCATCAATTCCCTCAGGAAGGGAGCCGAGTGGTAATTCACTGCTGTCTTTTTCTTTAGAAAAGGTGGTAGATTCAAGCACAGACTCTCCAGTTTTTGTACTTTCAATTCTTCCAGGAGGCAGAAATCCCCAACTTGTTCCTTTGTCTTTGGAAAAATCTTCCATATGGGTGTCACTCATTTTCTGGAAAACAAGTACGATAGAGTTGCTCAGATATCTGGGTTTGTTTTGCTTGGGAGCCAGGTCTGGGGGCTATTGCTGACTCAGTGCTTAGGGGCTGCCCTGGATGGGGTGGGGGGCCCTGTGATGCCGAGAGTCCAATCCAGTCTGGCATGCAAAGGACTGCTTCAGCCGGTTACACTACCTCATTGGCCTCTGGTTGTTTATCTTTTAAATAATCACTCTGAAGCGTGACAGAACTTTTTGTCTATTCTAACATCAGTATATTTCTATTCTACTTGGTAGCACTGTAGCACTGTCCTCCTGTTGTTCACGGATTTGCTCAAGCGGGCACCAGTAACGTCTCCATTTTGAGACTTGTTGTTACTTTTTTTGGCATATCGACTACACCACGGGGAGTTTGCCAAGCTCTGCCATGCGGGCGGAATACTCTCGGTAGCTTGCCAGGCACTCTAAGAGGGGCAGAGGAATCAAACCCGGGACAGCCACTTGCAAGGCAAACCCCTACCTGCTATACTATCGCTCCAGCTTACTCAGTAAGTTTCATTATTCTAGCCAGTTCCTAACAACTGGAGATGACAAAATCACCATAATTAGCCACAGGGTTATGAATCTTTCGTCACTAATCCAAGTTGCGGTTCCTTCTTGGATGGACAATAATTATAAATTCAGAGACCTGGAAAGGATCTTAACAATCATGTAGCCAAACTTCTAATTTTGTGACTAAAAGAACAGTGGTCTAGGAAAAGGGGTTCAATAAGTATATCTCTAAACATACAAACACAGACACAGACACACACAAAGGACATCCATAGCTAGTTTTCTAAATCATGATACTGAAGTATAAATTTTAACAGAAAGGAAAAAGTATTTCTTGGGTAAAAATGCATCATTAAGGTATAACACTCATTTTTACATGGAACCAAATTTTAAAAGATCTTCAATTCTAACATGCACAATTTTTTTATGTAAAGGTGTTCACTTAAACACTTAAAATTTTCCTCCAGTTTTAAGTCCCACAGAATATGCATGCAGACAAATATAACTCAAGGATCACTGAGCTCACAGCAGTGAGCGCAACTGTCTTGCATACAGCCAACCCTGATTCGATCCCAGACACCACATCTGGTCCCCTGAGCACTGTACGGAGTAAACCCTGAGCACTGCCAGTTGTGGCCAAGGAAAAAAAAGAAATAAAGAAAAAAGAAATAAAATAATACTGATCTATTAGACAAAACATATAGATATTTAATATCAAAGGTAAATGACAGGCATGAATAATTTCATAAAATAATTATTTTTTTAAGCATTGTTCATTTAGTAAATAAAGATATGTCAGTTGGCCATATATAAGCCTTTCATATTTTATCATTTGAAAATCTGATTATTGTCACACAGTCTTCTTCTGGAGGGAAAGGGATGCAGGGGCCATACCCAGTGGCACTCAGGGACTATTCCTGGCCGGGTGCTCCTGAGTGAGCCCCGGGACTGCATGCCTGCTCTAGGGGGCACACACAATGCCAAGGGAAAAGCCCAGTCAGCCACACAGAAGGGAAGATTCCTTTCCTCCCGAGCTAGCTCTCCAGTCCCTGAACAGCCACATTCTCACTTTCTACAACCATAACACTGAGTGCTTGTATTCTATCAATCCTGCTCTCAGAGATCAATGCAATTTCAAAATCAAGAAAGCAAACAAATACAAGAAAAAAAATCTTGTATTTGAAGATTTTTAAGTACAAAAATTCTGTATATGTACAAATTAACTGAAAGTTTTTTTTTTGTTTTTTGGTTTTTTTTTTTGCTTTTTGGGTCACACCCGGTGGTGCTCAGGGGTTACTCCTGGCTCTGCACTCAGGAATGACTCCTGGCGGTGCCCGGGGGAGACCATATGGGACGCTGGGAATCTAACCCGGGTCAGCCGCGTCCAAGGCAAACGCCCTACCCGCTGTGCTATCACTCCAGCCCCCCTAACTGAAAGTATTTTATTTTCAATATCTGAAGATGATTTTTATCGTGGAATCATCATATTTTTACATACTGTTACAAAACGCTTTAACACTTTCAAAAGAGGGACCCTCCATAATGGTGTTCTCACTTATCTCAGAATGTTTATGCTTTCATCTTAATTTTTAATTTTTTGGGTCACACCAGGTGATGCTTAGAGATTACTCCTGGCTCTGCCCACAGAAATTACACCTGGTGGTGCTTGGAGGATGATATGGGCGGCCGGGGATCAAACCTGGGTTGGCTGCCTGCGAGGCAAATGCCCTCCCCACTGTACTACCACTCCAGCCCCTTATGTTTTCATCTTAACACTGCAATACAATATACCCAAGGTGTGTAACTTTAATATCAGAGGAAATATATAAAGATAAATCAGCAAACAGCAGCACCCAAAGGAATTCTTAAATTACACAAAACTCAAACTTAAAACGTGTAGCCCAATCACACAAATCCAACTGACCGGTGTACTTACAAAACTGCGCTTGCCAGAACAAGAGGCTGATGACGATGATGATGTTAAATAGTAGTCAATAGTCCCCTTGTTAGAAGTATTTAGTGCTTTAAGGTTGCAGAAGCACACACTTAGGAGAGTAAGATGGAAGGGCATCTTCACATTCACCATATCCCGAAAAAGCTTCATAAGTATTTCAACCACGGGGGTCATCACATCATCATTTCCTAAATATTTAAGAAGACAGTATCAAAAACATGTCATCATGCTAAGAGCTCAATGTAATTTATATTGCTTCCATTAAGAAAATGAAATCCTAGATCAATATAATTGGGATATTCTATCATTATGCTATCATTAGCACTGCCATTATTATTGTGTTTGGGAGTCATCCCCTGTGTTGCTCGGGAGAGACTCGAAGCTCTGTGCTCAGGGTTTATTCACAGCAGTTTTCAGGGGACCACGTGCTACCAGAGACTGAACCCGGGTCTCCCACAAGCATTCAACCCACTGAACTTTATCTCCAGCCCAAAATATATTGACATTATTTACTTAAATGAGCTATCTCAAACATGAATACAAAATGTCAAATGAGTTCTAAGTTTTCAGAAGAACTGAGATGTGTGACTTGTGATTCTGGCAAATTGCTAAGGAAATCGCTTCATAAAACTGGAACAAGACTAAACAAAACTGTCAAAAACAACCATTTTGAGAAATCTGGAAATGAACAATGACCAATAAAGTGGGAAGCATTGATCTACGAAAGGACTTTCGGGCAAGTGAGAGCAGGACTGGAGCAACAGTATGCAAGTAGGATGCGGGCCTTGCACACGGCCAACCCAGGTTCCATCTCCAGGACCCCCTAAGGTCCCCGGAGCATTGCCAGGAGTGATCCCTGAGCACAGAGCCGAGAATAAGCCCTGGCCCAAACCATGCTGCCCCCCCACAGGGACCAAAAAAAAGGAAAGTGAGAGCTAGGGATGAGAGAGAGCTCCAGTCAAACTTGTGCCCAGCAGTGCCAGGCCCTGAGTTCCATCTCTGGCACTGAGTTCCATCAGGCATGGCCCTGGTGGCCCTAAGCAGTGAGCCATCAGGTCTGTGTTGCCAGACTCAGTATCACCAAGAAGATCCCACCGAAGCATTACTGGGGTAGCCTGTATTGTATGTTTTAGTGAGCAAGAGGGCCTGTAGAGAAGACGGCGGACAGGATCATGCCTCGCACATGGCTAACCTGAGTTTGGTCCTGACACCCCACGTGGTCTCCTGAGCCCCGTCAGGAGTGATTCCTGAGCACAGAACGAGGTGTATGCCCTGAGCACAGATGGGCATGAACCCAAGACAACCCCCCCCCAATAAAAACCATCAGGTAAAATGGTCTAATAATAAGCACACAGATCAGTGAAATCAGCAAGTCCAAGAAATAAAATGCTTATGTTTACAGTTTTTGACTAAGGTGTGTGATAATTCAATTTTTTAAAAATGGTCTCCCCTACAAATTTTGTTGGAACAAAATTAAATGCCTATGTGCAAAAGAATGTAATAAGATGGTTATCCTAGGCCCACATAAAAATTAACCCCTAATGGACATAAATGTAAAATTTCAATACACATAGGCCAGGAATCAGATGTGCGGCTAGTACAATGCTGCCGTGAGGCAGAGGCCCCTGAGCACCACCAGGGATGGCACCAAAACCAAACCAAACCAAACCAAAAAAGATTCTGAAAAGAAAATGAAGAAAGAAATACCTCCCACCTAGGTTTAGGTAAACAAACACTCCTGCCCATTGGTGAGCACCTACATTGTTAGGGTCACTCTGAATAAAGTGTGGTGACTTCCTGGGGTACAACTCAGCACACTCCCTCTCATTACAACCTACCCAACGTGGTAAAGGAAAGCTTCCGTTTACCCAAGCACTAACGTGCCAATGTTCACAGCAACGTCTTGTTTTCTAACAGGCCAAAAAAAGGGGAGTAATCTAGCCTCAAGTTAGCTCATGCCCTATCAGAGCTTTGTTTCCACTGGATGTGGGAGACATTTCTAATGACAGATAATTTTCAGTATCCATGTGAAAAGCACCCCCCACCAAAGCCCAAAGGTATTGAATAATTCCCTCGGTGAGGGCCCTCCGTCTTCGGATCACGTTTTAAACTCAAAGCCTGCCTTCTGAAGAGCTCACCCTGCCAATTACATCATTAGGGAGCGGGTCAGTACCTGCCCCGAACTTCTGCACCACGTGGGCTGGCAGGGCGCGCTGCCGGCTCTCGCGGCTCCAGTGATTCTCCGTGGCGTGCCGGCGCAGCGCCAGTCGCACCGTGTGTGGCTTCCTTCCGTCTTGGCGCACTCTGCGGTACAGCAGGGAACAAGAAAGCAGGAGAGCATGACATGAAGGTTTTTTTTTTTGGTTTGTTTGTTTGTTTGCTTTTGGGGTCACACCCGGGGATGCACAGGGGTTACTCCTGGCTCATGCGCTCAGGAATTACTCCTGGTGGTGCTCAGGGAACCAAATGGGATGCTGGGAATCGAACCCAGGTCACCCGCGTGCAAGGCAAACACCCTACCCGCTGTGCTATCCAGCCCTACATGAGGGGTTTTTCAGGAGACCTAACACGTCATTGATCTGAAGAAGCCAGCAAGGCAGGAAGCAATTGAGAGCCCCTGAAGAGCCCAAGTAAGTTTTACAGTCTACACATGAAAGCTCTAGCACGGTACACCGAAAGCACTCCCACCTAAGTCGAAATTTCAACAAATTTCAACACCGCAGTCCAAAACATAATTTAAGACATTAAAATTAGAACAAAACTAAAGAAATCCAAAGATCATTCTCTGACAGAAGCATATATATGAAAAATTGCAGAAGACATTTTTACAAATTATTTTGCAAATAAGACTAAGAAAAAAATTTTAAAGGAGATTGCCTTTGCTAACAAGCACTAACCAAAAACATCAACAGAGTCATTCCATGGTATATTAGAGAAATAACTTGAAAAATTACTTGTACACTGTTTAAGATAAGCATGTGTCTATATATTGTAAAAATGTCGTCATCCATGAAGGTTTTTTCTAACAGGCAAATAAAAGGGGAGTAATCTAGCCATCAAGTTAGCTCGTGCCCTATCAGAGTTTTGTTTCCACTGGATGTGGGAGACATTTCTAATGACAGATAATTTTCAGTATCCATGTGAAAAGCACCCCCCACCAAAGCCCAAAGGTATTGAATAATTCCCTCGGTGAGGGCCCTCCGTCTTCGGATCACGTCTTCGGATCACGTCATCCAAATAGTTTTGGTATTGAAAACAAGAGGTTATTTTTTGTTGTTGTCATTGGGTTTTGGGGGGATGGTTTTGGGTTTTGGTTTTGGATTAGGGGTCATACCTGGCAGTGCTCAGGGCTTACTCCTGGCTCTGCACTCAGAAATTACTCCTAGCAGGCTTGGAAAGACCATATGGGATGCCAGGGATCAAATCTGGGTCAACCACAAGTAAGACAAGCACCCTACCCATTGTACTATGGCTTTGGTCTGAAAACAATAAAATTCACTTGCAAAATATAGAAAATCTCTTTACTAAAGAATGTTATTAAAGACAACTTTTCAATTTTACATGAATACATTTTTAAGTATTTATGTGCTATCTATATTATATGTATGGCTCTCTGGATGTACAGACATTATTAATATACCAAATACAAACATTGTATATGATTAAACATACCTAAGTTTAGATACTGAAATTTTTAAGTTTCTGTAGAAGATAAAGTTTTCTTATTGCTTTATCACAAAACCTGTTTGTTGTTTTACTAAGATTACTAAGTAATTTAAATGGCTCCTATAAACACGATAACAGTATAAGTATCTCCCATTAAACTTGGTCAATGCAAGTCAAAGAACATAACTTGTTTCCAGTAAGTAATTAAGACATACTAGAAAGACAAGGTTATATTATAGTGTTTTAAGAGAGTATTAGAGGATGAATTAAAAATTATATGATCTTGGAGGGCTGAAATACATACTTTGCATGCAAGTACCAACTGTTCAACTGTGGATAGCCAGGAGTGACCCACAAGTCTTAACACCATAGTTGTTCTCCAAAGGAAAAACCAAACAATTATATAATTCGATGTCTTGCTTACTACATTAATAATTCTCTATACTCTAGAAGAAAAATGCACGCAATAATTTGGACAGTCACTGAGATGGATGTAATCTCAGTCTCCGAAATAAGGGGCCTTTTAAAAGAGGGACTAAGGGACTGAAGAGAGAGTAGAGTAGGTAGGGTGCTTGCACGCAGCTGACCTGGTCTGCGTCCCCATACTTCATATGGCCCCCCCATTCACACCAAGAGTGATCCCCAACAGCAGAGCCAGGAGGAAGCCCTAAGCAACTGGTAACTGTGACTGTGGCCCCAAAAGTAAGCAAAAAGAGGAGGAGGGAATGCCTGGCAGGTAAATAAGGGAAAATGGTTAATGCCATTTCACAGGTTTAAAGAACCTTGTCCCTTCTCTTACTGAGTTTTCAAAAACGGGAGCCAATAAGACCTATACTTCTATATGTTACAGATGGGTGTGTGTGTGGTCATATTTGCAAGCCTGTGTGTACGTGTGTATTCATCTGCATGCATTTTACTTAGATAAAGATTAATACCCCAGGCTGCTGGGACCATGTGTTCCTGAATATCCTAGGAAGAAAAGTAGCAAATGAGCTTCTTGACTTCACATCAAATGTATTCTGAGAACTAGCCCTGTTCATAGAACAGAAGAGTTAACTGCAGAAAAGAGATAAAACCAAAAACTAACCCTTCTGTGAAAAATAATGTTAACTCATCAATTACCATTGTATATTATGACATGCTCTAATTTCTTATATTGTCTGTTTCTTTAAACTTTGTCCGTTGTACTTTTAAGAAAGTGTTAGTATACTAATTGCAATTCTTTAAAACTAGAAGCTGGAGCGATAGCACAGCGGTAGGGCATTTGCCTTGCAAGCCGCCGGCCGGCTGAGTCGGATTCGATTCCTCTGCCCCTCTTGGAGAGCCTGGCAAGCTATTGAGAGTATTTCGCCTGCACGGCAAAGCCTGGCAAGCTACCCCTGATGTATTCCATATGCCAAATACAGTAACAACAAGTCTCACAATGGAGACATTACTGGGCCCACTTGAGCAAATCGATGAACAAGGGGAGGACAGTGCTACACTGCTACAGTGTATAAATCTGATGTGGAAATCAGTTTTAACTGATGTGTGAATGTTTCTGATTATTGTCAAATGCATTCTTTTTTAAGTTTTTAGATTTTTAATGTTTCACAAACCATGGAACTGGTGGTAAAGTTCGGCTGTGAAAATAAAACATGCAGTATTTTTTTAACTTGAATGTCAATTTCAAGTGCATCTGAAATGGTTTCTTCAGGAGAGAGATTCCTTCAAAGGAGAAACTCCTGCAGAGAAAGCAGCCTTCTTTGGAAAAAACAAAAATGTTGTGTTATCTTGGTGTATTATGGCAGTGTAGCTGTTTCCTAGGGCATCATGAAAAACACAAATGTGCTCTTTAAGTAGACCTCTTCTCCAGTTTGAGAGGAAAGGACTCAGTTTGCACCCTTTTTGCATGTAAAATAGAATGTCTTACCTTTCCTACGTGCAGAACTGCTCCCAATGGCTAGGCATTTCACAGTGGTCTTATAATTAACTGAAGCAAACAAGATCACCCAGTTTCACTGGCTTACTCACAAGCCAGCCTGAGTCATCTCAGCGAACTGCATCGTATAATCAGCACGGGCCAGGTGGAGCACAGCTCTGCTCAATGCAGAGGACCCGCATGACACTTGAGGGCAAAGTGTAGGAAAGCTCACTACATCTGTGCTCTGAAAACTATTTCCTCTGGCCACAGCCACTGTAGCATCATCACAGGAAGATACCTACTCTCGGACTTCAGGTCTTCACACCCCAGTCAGAGACATCCAGGAAGGACAAAGTGTGACTCTTTAGTGGAAACTGAGAAATGGATATAATAACAACGAAGTATCATGACACCGGATGCTCTGCTCTGTTCCTCCAGGCATGCCCCGGCTGGCATCCTCCACGCAGGCATCAGGCAGGCTGCACACAAACCACAACTCTCCCTGCACACACACAGCCTCAATGATCCACTCCCTCATCTGATCCCACTTTTACCAGTCAAAGGTGAGACAGACAAATGTTCTACTTTTTCTCATTGACATTCTTAATAATTTCCCAACCATCATCACAAATATATGTATCAATATGCAACTTTAGTAACTGCAACCATACTGTTCCTCTTTGCTTTATCCTTAACAAAAAGCAAGTAGCAATGAGACTGAGGACAAAAGCTTGCTTTCGACCGCCACAGGGACAGATCAAAACTTGTTCCTCCTTGTCATAAAACAAAACAGTACAGAGTGGGGAGTGCTTACCTCACACACTGCTAGCTGACCTGGGTTCAATTCGCTGCACTCCAGATGGTCCCCAAGCCCTGCCAGGACTGATCTCAGAGAGAAGAGCAGATAGCAGACCCTGAGCACCACCAGGTATGGCCCAAGATGCAAAAAGTTAAAATTAAGAAAAATGAAAAAACAAAAAAACTAACATGGGGACACAGTTCAAAAAGCAGGAGTGTCTGAGTGGCATGCGTGTACAGAATCACAAGGTGGACCTCTGGTACTGCCAGGGCTCCCAAGTCCCGGTACCCCCAGAACTGTTGCATCTCCCACCAAAACAAGAACAAAAAAAGAACACTTAAGATATATAAAACTGGGGCTGGAGCAATAGCACAGAGGGTAGGGCGTTTGCCTTGCACATAGCCAACCAGGATTCGATCCCCAGCATCCATATGGTCCCTCAAGCACCACCAGGAGTAATTCCTGAGTGCAGAGCCAGAGTAACCCCTGTGCATCACTGGGTATGACCCAAAAACCAATAAATAAATAAATCGAAGTTTTTAAAATAAAGTAAAAAAAAAAAAGATGAACGAAGCTGAAAAAAAATTGCTAACCTTCACAAAAACAGAACTTTCTTCTTGCTAAACAGGTATAAACATGAGAGCATATTTATTGATTGATTGATTGATTGATTGATTTGGGGGGTCACACCCGGCAGTGCTCAAGGTCTATTACTCCTGGCATCACTTGAGGGACATGTAATGCTAGGGATTCAACCCTGACTTTCTGTACACAAAGAATGTGCTCAGTCACTGAGCGACAGTGATAGCCACCAAGCCTCCCTAGGTTACTCCCAGATTCATCTTAAAGCACAGCATCACTAAAATTACAAGGGAATAGGTAAACTTATTAAATCAAGGGCAGGAGCGACAGCACAGCCTGTAGGCCGTCTGCCCTGCACGCTGCTGGCCCAGGTTCTATTCCTCTGTCCCTCTTGGAGAGCCTGGAAAGCTACCAAGAGTATCCCGCCCGCACGACAAAGCCTGGGAAGCTACCCATGACATATTTAATATGCCAAAAACAGTAACAATAAGCCTTACAATGAAGGTGTTACTGGTGCCCACTCAAGCAAATTGATGAACAATGGGAGGATAGTGCTACATTGCTATTAAATCAAGAGCAATGATCACGATCTCTGCAACAGTTTATTAAGAAATGTCAAGAAATTCAGTGACAGACACAGCAACAAAGAAGAAAACCAGCTGGAGGGCCCCACAGCTCCTGGAGAATGCTCCAGGTCGCAAACAGAGCGAATATCACCGGGAGGTCCCAGATGGGGTAGGTGCTCCCGTACGGCCTTCTCCAGAGGAAACCCTGGTGACCATGAGCTCCTACAAGCATAGCTCTGTCATGCAGGTACCAGGACATTTTTTCCGAACTGCAATGGGGCCGCCCCGACTCCCAGGCAACCTCTGATTCCGGAAGTCACGCCCACAACTCGCCCCCCAACGCCATCTTACAGCACATAGCAACAAAGAAGAAAACAAGCTGGAGGGCCCCACAGCTCCCTGAGAATGCTCCAGGTCCCAAACAGAGCCGATATCACCGGGAGGTCCCAGATGGGGTAGGTGCTCCCATCCCGCCTTCTCCAGAGGGAACCCCGGTGACCATGAGCTCCTACAAGCATAGCTCTGGCATACGGGTACCAGGACATTTTTTTGAACCGCGCGGCCGCATAAGCGGCCATGCGACATCTCCTTATATACAAAGTGATCAATGGAAAGTAAATCATCCAACATTTCTCCCTGAAAATCAGGCTTAACTCTTTTGCAAACCACAACACCCAAAAGGAGAGAGAGAACAAAGGGGAATGCCCTGCCACAGAGGCAAGGTGGGATGGGGGGGTTGGGGGGGTGGGAGAGATACTGGGATCTGTGGTGGTGGGAAATGGGCACTGGTGGAGGGATGGGTATTTGAAAAAAATAAAATAAATTAAAAAAAAAGAAATTCAGTGACAAATAAGTTTATCTCTGTACATCTATCTTTATCTTAAGTTTCTAGTTAATCTTTCAAGGCATAACATCAAGTATTTTTTCCATATGTTATTTAGAGAATAAACAAGATAATACAGCAAAATGGCAAGTCACCTGTTTAAAAGACTAGCAAGTAGTTCTTCAATCTTCTGTTTAGCTTCAATTTCTGATGAACATTTTTTAAATGAATCCTCTTCACTGAAAGACTATCAAGGAAACAAAAATAAGAATGATTATGCAAATGTAAAATGCACCTAAGTGTACCCAGTTATACCAGCACATATGTCAAATAAATATTTGACACATCTTCAACTAACTTACCTCTCACTCTTAATTTGGACTCATTTAGTTCACCTTAAATTAACTTTTACTCTGCAAATTCCTGTACTCCACTAGAAAGTGCGCTCTGAGTCAAGAAAAATTCAAGCTCTAGCACCAGCTCCAAGCTCTACTGTATGACTACAGTGATACTTTTATCGGATTTGAATTAAAACTTAACTTTGAGCAAATTACCAACCCTTTCTACAGTATAGAATCCTCATCTTCAAAGAAAGAACAGGAGAGAAAGGAAGAAATGGAGAGGGATAAAAGATTCAAGCAGGGCTAGCGAGAGTTCGCGGGCTGGGACACCTCCATTTCCTGCCTCTCTGTGGCTGACAGGCGCCTATCATGAGAAACCCCAACCTGGGATGAACCGCTGAGCATGACCAGGTACAGTCCCCAAACAAAAGGTGCAAGCAAACAATAGCACCACCTGCCTCAAGGGTCTGTACCAAAGATAAATGAGGATAACGTCTAAAGGGACTCTGTGCAAGAATACTCATATGGGGGAAACCACCAGTATTGACTGGATGATTTATACTAGTGCTCCATACTGGTCATGGACTAGTTCTGGCCCGCAGATGTGCAAAAGTTAGAAACCTCTCCTCTATCACATTGGACCAGGATGCAGGACAGGTGAAAAGGGTGAAAAACGTTGACTGAAACATTTCTAAATTCTCCAGATTATTAAAGAACTCTGAAAACAAAACTGATTCTTAATGATATTTGAACTCCTATCTGCCATGCAGGCTACTAAAATTCAGATCCAAGAGAGACACCACTGCTGCGTCGGATGGGCCCAGGTGGGCCCCGCATCAGGGATGAAGTCTCTGGAGCCTTCTCGGGATGGGCACATGCAGTCATTCGACAACTCAAATTTCACAGTACCAACAGCCCAGTAAATTAGACCACAGAAACTTAGATGGGAAAGTTAGGCAGAAGCCCACTAAACTCAATGAGTGAAAACAATAACACAGCCTTCTCAACTAGCACCTATTAGCACAGAAAATCCTCAGGTAATGATTTCGCTAAATCCATTGTGAAATATGCTGGAATAAGAAATATAAAATAAATTTTTTCATGACCACTAAGGAGGTAGACGGGATGGGGGGACTGTGAATACTAGTGAAGGGAAGGTCATATTGCGGTAGGTTTGTGTTGAAACACTGACTATCTGAAACAACTATATTGTGAACAACTTCATAAGTCACAGTGTTCCAATAAAGTTTCAAACATAAAAAGAAAATTAAATCCTAAATTTTAAAATTAAAGTAGGTAACGTGAGACATAAATGCTTTTTTTCCCCTTTGTTTCGGGGCCATACCCTGTGGTAGTCAGGGCTTACTCCTGGCTTTGTACTCAGGAATCACTCCTGGCAGGCTTGGAGCCCTCCTTTCCCCAAACAAAAGAACATAATACTAAGATTAGATCTTTTTATCTCAAAATAATGTGACAACATGTACTTAAGTAAAATAAATCTCATGTACCTGAGGTGGTCCTGAGGGTGTCACAGGGGTATTATCCTCTCCGAAACTGAGTTTCTGAATACGGTGAGCAACTGAAATTCCTAATTCCTTTTCTAATATTTTGGACGAAAAGGTCTGAAGGTCATGCAAACTACTGATACCCAGAGCTTCAAGACGTTTGGTGGTTTTATAGCCAATACCTAAACAAAAAGAAGTGCATGTATTGTTAAAGTGACTTACTCACCTTTCTTCTTAAAATAAAATTATGACAGTATTACAAACATCAACCACACCCTTAAATTACATAATCAGCACCTTGCTAAGCTCAATTTAATTGTGAACTGGGATGCTCTGCTCAGGTTTGTTCTGCATTTATGTCTCAAGTTCCCCACTTTAATTCTGAGATTTGGGATTTAAATTTTTTTATGTTTGAAACTTTACTGGAACATTGTGATTTACGAAGTTGCTCATAATTCAGTCGTTTCATGTATGCTGAGTCATATGAACCATACGACACACTTATCACCACACAAACATGGGTAAAAATGTGAAATGAGCCAGAGAGATAGCACAGGGATTATGGCGCTTGCACAAGGCCAAGTCTGGCTCAATCCCCAGAAACGCAGATGGCTCCCAAAACATGACCAGGAATGGTCCCTGGATGCAGAGCCAAGAATATTTCCAGAGTGCAAGCAGTAACCCCGAAGCACTGTGGTTCACAAACAAACAAACAAACAAACAAACATAAATGCCAATTGTGACACCTAAAGATTGAACTTCAGCTGACTTAAAAAGCCTGTTACAACTTACTCCCTAGCAAAGAAACAAGGCTGAATGTACCTGTTAGCAACGGTCTATAAAGACTTACTGACTTACAAAATCAGGCACAGGGATAGGTCAGGGATTCCTGCCTGGCAAGCCTGAGAGGCTGAGTTTGGTCCCTGGCACTGCGAACATTCACCAGGTGTGGTCGTAATGGCTCTGCTGTCTGGGAATCCCTCTGCGCAGCTGGGTGTGTGCGCTGAAAGACAGCCCGGTATGTGCCAGCACCACAGTTAAAGTGTGTGAGCCCTAATGGGCACACAACTAGAGACACAAGCACTGCAGCCTGAGAGCAAGGACGTGAGCACCACAGTGACACAGGAAGAGCACTACCACCAGAACGGGTGTGAGTACCACAAAATGAGTCGTGGCCTCTGCTAAGCATCTAGGCCAGCACCACAACCAAGTCTTGAGTGCCACTGAGTGCCAGTAAGTACCACAAGTGTGCAAGCACCACATTCAGGCATGTGGGACTCACAGGGACGACAGCAATAGCAACAAAGATGCAGGAAAGAGGAAGCAAAGAAGGAAAATAAAGAAACGACCTTGTCACATGACCTTAATGGAGTGAAGAGCCTTCATGGAAATCAGTTTCCTCATCTTTAAGACACAAACTTTGCCTATGAGCTTTGGAAGGTCCCTTGAAAGTCCAATGTTTTAACTACATTCTCAAAATTGTTATTAAAAGACCAATTCTTGTATTGAGACACACTGTACAGTAGGAGGGTATGAACCAGGGAATAAAAACAAAGACCTTCTTTCCAGCTTATAACTTTCCTGATCATAGGAATTCATGGGATATCATAGGATTCCTTTGATATCTCCTAACTGGTTCCTTTAAGAAAACAGGTTTGTGGGTTTGTTTGTTTTTTGAAGTCTTCCCCAGGCGTCAACACATGTTCTTCACATGACTTCACTTCATGGATATCACATTTTTAAAATCAAAGAAATATTAATGAGACATACAGCACAGAAGGCAGGAGGTTTGCCTTGCACATGGACAACCCAGGTTCGATTCCTCCACCCCTCTCGGAGAGCCCAGCAAGCTACCGAGAGTATCCCTCCCGCACAGCAAAGCCTGGCAAGCTCCCCATGACATATTTAATATGCCAAAAACAGTAACAAGAGGTCTCACAATGGAGACGTTACTGGTACACGCTCGAGCAAATCGATGAACAATGGGGAGGACAGTGCTACAGTATGCCAATACTTTTACTTACCAGGCAATTCCTTGATGTGCTTCAAACTCTGAATCAGATCTTGAGAACTTTCAGGTAGTAAGACTGTTTGTTGATTTGGCTTAAAGGTGCCAGAAACCAATTTTGCCAGTAGTTTATTCGAAGCCACGCCGGCACAGCCCGTGAGTCCCAGCTGACTGTACATGGCCTCGCGCATCTCGGCGGCAACCTGCGAGCCCAGGAGCAGTCTGCAGTGTGCGACGTCATGCAGGTTGACAGCTAAAAAGACCACCAACGTCGTTAGCCATCACCACACACAAACTATTTCCTGAGAAGTTTGGAAAGTATACAGCGTGATTCCAACCCCATACCACCACCACACTCTTTATTTTTACTTTTTTGTTCTTCTTATCATCTCATTCCTACTTTGGACAAACTGGCAGGCTACCGAATGTAACCTGCCCACACGGCAGAGTCTGGCAAACTCCCCGTGGTATACCCAATATGCCAAATACCAGTAACAATGATGGGTCTCATTCTCCTAACCCTGAATGAGCCTTGAATGTGGCACTTTTTAAAAAAATCTCAGGGCTAGGACGAAGGAGACGTTACTGGGGCCTGCTCGAGGCAATCGATGAACAACAAGATGGTCGTGATCGTGATTGTTCTTCCCAAGAATTCCTCGGTGTATTTCAGGGGTCTGTGAATGAACACATGCTGGGTGTTCTTAATGGTTAGGAAATTATGAAAACTGATTCCTCATTAAAAAAATAATAATAGGGGCTAGAGCGATAGCATAGAGGGTAGGGCGTCTGCCTTGCACACGGTCGACCCGGGTTCAAGTCCCATCATCCCATATGGTCCCCCGAGCACTGCCAGGAGTAATTCCTGAGTGTAGAACCAGGAGTAACCCCTGAGCATCGCTGGGTATGACCCAAAAAGCAAATAATATAATAATAACAATAATAATAATAATAAAAATAAAAGTCTTACAGGAGCTGAGAGATAGTACAGCTGCCTTGCACACAGCTGACCTGGCGTTGATCCCCACACCCTCAGGAGTGATCCCTGAGCACTGCAAGTGTCCCAAAACAACAACAACAAAAAAATCATACTGAAATTAACATAACTTTTACTCATTTGTCTCTAACAATAACTTTTTTTAAAAAATAAACATTGCTTTATTTTTTCTTTTTGGGTCACACCTGGCGATGCTCAGGGGTTACTACTGGCTCTGCCTGCACCCAGGAATTACTTCTGAATTATGGGACCATATGGGATGCTGGGGATCGAGCCCGGGTGAGCTGCATGCAAGCAAATGCTCTCCCTGCTGTACTATTACTCTAGCCCCAACAATCTTATTTTTAAATATATGAATCTAAACTTTATACTACAGTTATAATGTGGTAAAAAAGAAATTTCCAATTCGTGCATTATTTAAGAGAGCTTTTATGAAAGTAGACAAAAATTACATGGAAACAGATTTTCTTAAGTGTGAAAATGGTCTTGAAGCTATACTTCTTATCCTAGGAATATCTGGGGATAGAGCTCAGCAGTAGAATGCCTACAGGTGTGAGGCATTAGTTTCAATCCTGAGCACCATCAACCTCCCCACACGCACAGAAAGTAAAGAAAGCGTACTCGGGAATGCTGCATGATTGTTTCTGCAATGTTTTTTAAATGGATCACTGCTCGACCAACCAATCAATACAGCAATAGAAAGTGAGTTAAAGCAATATGGCAAATAATACCGGCATCTCTACAAGTGTTCACTGTACTATTCTGCCAACTTTGCTATAGATTTGAGGGGAGGGGGTCTTCAGTCCAATTTGTGGGCAAGCAGAAGAATGCATAATCAAAGGACCTCGTTTTGTTTAATCCCCAGCATTATGGGAACCCTCAGGCCCCTGCCAGGGATGCTCAGGGAGTCATGAGGTGGGAGGGCTCAAACTTGGGGCCTCAGGCATGCTAGGCACGCATTCTATACAGTGTTCCAATCAATAAAGTTTGAGTGTGCCTTAAAAAATCACAGAACAGAATCAAGACGGAGATCAAGAGCAGAGGACGCAGCCTCCAAGTGTGGGGCCCTGGTTCGATCTCTGGCATCACAACATAATCTGCAAACATATTTAGAGCCATGCGGCAGCACCGGCCTTCTCGGCGCCATGCAGCACATGAGCAAAAGACAGGGGGAAGCGCCACGTCTTCCCAGGGAGAGAACTGCAGCCGCCCCTTCATGTCAGTAGAGACTGATGCTTGAGTTCTCAGGAAGGGAGAGCAAGCACACACTCAGAACTCGGAGGAGCGAGAAGGTTCGGGGCAAGCGTCCAGGGATCAGAGCAGCTTGTGTCCCGTGTTGTGCGATGTGGGAGTGACCAGCAGAGTCCCAAGGGGTTTGCCACAGCACTGGACAATGGCTGGAGCCTATCTGCAGCTTATTTTCCAAAGCAAGTGTCTTTGGAAACAGCGTTAGTCATTTCCGCCCTCATGTGGAAAGGAGATAAACCACTCTGCTTTCTGGCTAGGAGCTGGCAGAGATTACCTGGACTGATGCAAAATGAGCTGGCAAACAAAAGATGGCAAGAAATCTGGAGTGGAGTCCGAGGCTTAACTCCTCAAGTCAGCGGGAAGCCTCAGGAGTTTGGTGCCTCAGAGATACAGAGGCGGAAAGGAGACAAAACTGGCAAATTTGCTCCCTCTCAAACATTTGCTTCTAAGTAGTTTTATTTATAACTTTGCAACTGACTTATAAACCACATGACCAAACCAAGTTGTAACTGAGGGGTGGAGAAGGCTCAGCGGGGAAGCCTCTTGCTGTGTGTGTCCACTGCGGTGCTTACACAGGCACCAAATGCCTCCCAGCTAGCCACAGCCGGTGGGCATGAGCCCCACATCCCACAAAATGGGTGTGCACCACATTTACCTTGTCATCACAGGGTCAGGAGAGGGGGGAGGGGATAAGAGAACACTGCTCTAAGAAAAATGGCAACACACCAACTATGTCAGAGAAACAAATAGTGCAAAGTACACAGAGTCAATGCCATCAAAATGTCCTATCATCATTCCGCATTTCGGCTTAATATGAAATGACACCTAACTTTAGGCATCTGAAATTAGTGAAAAATTAGGCTATACCTTGCACCCCCCCCAAAAAAAAGCAGCTTTCAGAAAACAAGACTGATTGCTGAACACTAGGCCCCGGGGAGTTGGCTCCAAGATGGGGGCATATACTCTGCACATGCCAGGCCCAAGTTTCAATCCCAGACCCCAGGGTCCCCGAGCACTGCCGGCGTGTTTCACTTGTTCCAGCACAGCAGGGCTTAAATTGTTCTACATCCTTGGACCTTTGCTTTACACTGTCTGGACCAATGAGCTGAGTAATAACAGGAATGACCCCCCACCCCCAAACCCCCACCTCCACCAGGTCCTCTGAGAACTGTAAAAAAAAAAGTTTTTGTATTACTAAATTATGATATTTATTAGTTTAAGTGTTCCGGGACAGCCTGAGATGCTTGGGAGCTACTCCCAGTATGTATGGTTTTTAGAAGACCGTACAGTTCAATCCCAGCAGATAGAGCCTGGGGCTCCTGCAGGAGAAGCACACACTCGAGCTCTTTTGGCCAGCTCCCGGCTCCAGGAAATTCTGTGTTCTCAGTCATTAAGCAGAGTAGGTCGGGGCTCACTCACACTGATTATTGTACACGTGGCCGGACACAGCCATTGTTGAAAGCTCATCACACTGAAGCTGCTGCAGTCTCTTCTCAACAATATCAGTGATGTCCACGAAATTTTCATCGAATCCCAGTCTCTCAACAAACGGACTGAATTCTTCTAACAACTCTAAGTGAAAATAACATTGGAGCACAGACGGATAATTGAAATTTTAATTAGAAATATTCGGTCACCGAAATATAATCAACGTGTCATTAAAGATTATCTGTTTACCTGTATATAAGGGGAACACTCCAAGCAGTGCTCAGGGCCTAAGGCTACCCCTTGGCACTCAGAGGCTGCCAAAGCTACATCACCAGAGAGCATGCAGAGCCAGGACGGGACTCTGAGCTCACACAGGTCTTGCATGTGCTCTCTCAGCTGAGCCTCTCTGACTCTGCAGCACACTTTGAGTTCAAGGCATTATCTTCGCCTCAAAACAATGGTCCCTGTTGGAGGCTGCTCATGGAAATATACTTAGCTCCCTTTCCTAAACCTGTGATTTCTGTAATCTGCAGTATATTGATAATCAGTACTTGTAGTTCATAGTTCACTATGGAACTATAACTATATAAAACAGTCCCATACTATTTTAAAACTATTATAAAATTGTCTCATACTATTTTTTTAAATTTATTTTTAGATGTATTTTTTTAAGTTAAAAATCCTAAGACACTCTCTACCCATTTTCCATAATTACCACACCTTTTCTGATGGGTTCAGACAGTAGGTAACAAACAATAGAGGGAAATGTACATATATTTCAATATATTTCATATATTTCAAATGTACGTATATTTCTCCTCTCAGAGAGCCCGGTAAGCTACCGAGAGTATCCCGTTCACACAGTAGAGACTAACAAGCTCTACTGTGGTACATTCAATATGCCAAAAACAGTAACAATAATGGGTCTAATTTCCCTGACTTTAAAAGAGCCTCCAATATGGCAGCATTGGGAAAGACGAGTAAGGAGGGGCTGCTAAAATCTCAAGGCTGGGACAAGTGGAGACGTTACTGGCGCCCGCTCGAGTGACTCAATGACCAATGGGATGACAGTGATACAGTGATGACCTTGAGGGGGATTATCAAAGGATAAATTGTAGTCTGTATAGAAAAGCAGAAATAAGTAACATATTCCAGCTATACTTCCACAAGTGTCTTACAAAGGCAAAGCAGACATAAAATTCCTCATTGTAGTGTTTAGTATCGTAAACGTCATAGTGAACATAGACTACCAAGAGATAGTCTCATTCGTACTGCAGTTTATCTGTTAAGAGCAAGGATAGACCAGACATTCCATAAATTTTTTCTAATACAATATTCAGTCCTTTGGTCAAGAAACTGAACCTAACCAAGATTTGAAATAATTTCCAAGGGACAATCAATTCTCATTTCTAGAATTAAAATAACTTTTTTTGAGAAGAATTTTTCACTTCTCTCTGAATCACCTACTGATGCTAGCCAGATGGCAGGACGCCAATTATTTATCGCCTCTTCAGACAAACAATGTGACCAAAAAAATTACATTCAAGCTACATGGAAAACACCATTATCTCCTCTAGGAGGAGAATTTCTGTCCACATAAGGGATTCTTTCACATTTTTCTCATCAGTGTCTGCAATGTTCTTTCAAAGATATACACACCTGATATCTAAGAGCAACAGGTAGGATATAAAAATACACAGTTTGTGTCAAAACAATACAAGAAAAATAAAGGACAAAGTTTTAAATAATAAGCAGAGAAGCAAATGAAACATAGAGCCATACACAATGCTGCTGGATCACTAAATAACGATGACAATGTCTCTGTAATTACATCATAAGCAGAAGCCACTTAACACTCCTCAGTTTGGGGCTGGATGCTTAACAGAGGCTAAGGCCTTGCAGGACCAGGTGATCCCCAGCACTTCAGGCCCCTGAGCACCACTGGCATGGGCACAGTGGCCCTGGCACTGCAGGTCCTGAACAGCACCACATCCTCAGGCCTGGAATCACCAGCAGTGGCTCCCAGGCCTCTCTGAGCACTATTGAGAAACCCCCATCCCCTGCCAAAGTTCCAAGTTAACCTCCTTTTGGCTGTCAACTTTACAAACAAGATGCATTTATTAAACATATCATTATGTTTAATAAATAAATCCCCAAAGAAAATTGTGATTATGGAAAGATACCTAGGCAGAAATGTATAAAGTGGTTACCTATATTTATGTAATATATATACATAATATAATGACCAGAGATAAACTCAATCTAGATGACTATAAGCCTGTTTCTCATTTAAGTCAGAAAATACTATGAGAAAAATAACACTAAAAATAGTTCTCATCAATGCACAAGTCACACTGCGAGTATTGTTTTAAATCAGGGCACCCTGAATTATAGTACTGCGGACAGTGCTATCTTCAGCGACGGCGTTACCCCATAGCCACCATCTCTAGGTGCCACACCAGGCCAACCACCACAACCTCCACCACCTTAGCACATTCAGCTCCGTAGGCCAACTCTCGGGGTGCTACCATTGGCTGATCTTCAGTTCTTACTGTATTTGTTTATAATCCACATATGAGAGAGAGCAATGAATGAATTTCTCATTATATGAGTGCATTTTTAATTCTTTCAAGAGATTTTATAATTAAGGATCGTGGGGTACGAGTGACAGTACAGTGGATAGGGCATTTGCCTGGCGGGTTTGACCTCCAGCATCCCCTACGGTCCCCCAAGAACCACCAGGGAGGTGCTGATCCAGGAATAAGCCCTGAGCACCACAGAGTGTGGCCGAAAAACAAAACAAAAAGATCATTGTAAAAACTCAGATTTACTACAGAACGGGAAATAATTTTTACCCAATACCCATTTGATAAAGGGTTGATATCAAGGACATACAAAGCACTGGTTGAACCCTACAAGAAGAAAAGATCTAACCCCATCAAAAATGGGGTGACAAAATGAACAGAAACTTTCCCAAAGAATAAATCCGAATGGCTAAAAGGCACATGAGAAAATGTTCTACATCACTAATCATCAGGGGGATGCAGATCAAAACAACAATGAGATACCATCTCACACCACAGAGACTGGCCCACATCCAAAAGAACAAAAGCCACCGGTGTTGGCGTGGATGTGGCGAGAAAAGGACTCTCCTTCCCTGCTGGTGGGAATGCCGAATGGTTTAGCACTTTTGGAAAACAGTATGGACGATTCCAAAAAATTAGAAATTATGCTCCCATTTGACTCAGCAATACCACTACTGGGAATATATCCTGGCGAGGCAAAAAAGTACAGTCGAAAAGACATCTGCACTTCTATGTTCATTGCTGCACTATTCACAATAGCCAAAATCTGGAAAAAAACCCAAGGGCCCAAAAACAGATGACTGTCAAAGAAACTTTGGTACATCTACACAATGGAGTATACTATGCAGCTGTTAGAAAAGATGAAGTCATGAAATTTACATACAAGTGGTACTACATGGAAAGTATCATGCTAAGCGAAATGAGTCAGAAAGAGAGGGACAGACATAGAAAGATTGCATTCATCTGGGGAATATAAAGTAACAAATTGGGAGACTAACACCCAAGAATAGCCGAGATAAGTACCAGGAGGTTGACTCCATGGCTTGGAGGCCAGCCGCACATGCTGAGGGAGAAGGCAGCTCAGATAGAGAGGGGAGCACCAAGTAAAGGGTGTTGGGAGGATCCCCCCAGGATGGGAAATATATGCTGAAAGTAGACTATAGACTGAACATGAGTGCCACTCAATGCCTCTCTTGCAAACCACAGCACCCAAAAGGAGAGAGAGAACAAAAGGGAATGCCCTGCCACAGGGGTGGGGTGAGATGGAGGCGTGGGAGGGATGCTGGGAGCATTGGAGGTGGGGAATGGGCACCGGTGGAGGGATGGGTACTCAATCATTGTATAACTGAAACCCAAGCACAAAAATTTGTAAGGTCAACAACTGTACCACATGGAGATCACTAACAAAAAAAATTTAAAAAAAAAACCTCAGATTTACTTGGGATGGGGATGTGGCTCAGTGGCAGAGCATGTGCCCTGGGTTTAATTCAGTTTCCTGAGCACCCATGGAAGTGACCCCTAATCACAATCGTGATTAGGTCCTAAACACAGCTGGGTGTGACCCTCACCCCTGCAAAAAAAAAAAAAATTTTTTTTTAAAGATTTACTGAATATTCAATATCACATTTCAAACTATTATGTTTTAGATAATACACACTTTAAGAATCAGGTGCTATTAATAATTATGGAAGACAACAAGTACAAAGTGGGGTACACTACGTAATACGAATCGAGGCCCAGTTAAACAAGTACAGAAAAAAATACAATGAACTACTGTGAGCGTGTATTTTAAAAACAAGCTCTGAGTGATATAAAAATTTATTGAGAACAAAGGCAAAATATAGTACTGAGTGTTATATAATCAGTTCTCTGTTCTTTAGAATGGAACTCAATATCTAAATAGACGAATTTTGCACGAATGTAGAAGTAGAAACACAGTCTTATCTTTTGTTTAGTTATCCCTTTACCCAACTTCCTCTAATTTTAGCACTGCCTCCTCTCATCTAGATTTAATCAATATTCAAAGTTAATGTGTATCTTTTCAAGTCTCTCCTCCTATATGTGTGCAGACATATACTTTATGTCAGGAGGGAGAGGAAGGGTTCGAATCACTGTTTTTATACACATGAAAAAATATACACAAGGGCTTGAATTTGGCATTTTATTCACTTTAAATCATGAGTCAAATAGGACATCAATAACGCTTTCTGTTTAACTACAGAAAATCCCATCAGAAAAGACTTCTTTGATTATCCTTCGTTTAATCATGAAATCAATACTTATATTTATCTTATTCTCTTCTAGACTGGCACTTTATTTCACATTGCTGTCAACTATAAACCAAGCATTAAAAGAAGTCATTTATATATATATAATTACATGGCTTTATTTCTAATTAGAAAATACCCCAGCAGTGCTAACACTCGTTTAAAGGCTAGAAGATGTATCTTTTTTGGTCCACTCCCAGCTCAGATCTCAGGGTCCTTTGGGCAGTACACAGTGATGGGGATCAAACCCAGGCCAATCGGGACATAAAGCATGCATTCAAGTACTTTGAGCCATATTCACATTTTTTCCAATTTTATTTTATAGTCTTCTCATATTTATATACATACCAATTGTGACATTAATTTTGTCCAAACACACATTCTGTTTCGGTATTATTTATGACCCATAAAGTCAACCTCCCGTAACTAAGTAAAAATGTTTGGGTCACACCCAGCAGTGTTCAAGGGCAGCTCCCAGTTCAGTGCTCAGAGAACAATGCAGTGACAGAGATCCAACAAAGGCTTCCTTACATGCAAAGCACATGCTCCAATACACTCAGCTACCCCTCAAATTCTCATATGATTTTTTAAAAGGTAAGATCCAAAATTAAATGTTCTTAGAAAAAAAGAAAAAGAAACATGGTATTTTACTTTTAGAGGATTTTTATAATGAGTAATTACCCTCCATAAAAATTAGGCTGCAAGTTTACTGCCCATTACCGTACCTGTAACCTTGTACGACATCTCTCTATAACGTGTCAAGTCTTCTCCATTAACTAATACCAGCTGTGGACATCTTTCTTTTGCATCTCTGACACTCATAACTTTCTTAACTCCAAGTTTCCTCGCTTCATAGTTACAAGTAACCACCAAATATTTCTGCTGCACCCCTGTAAAACAAAACACACTATGAGAAAATGAAACAAAACTGAATGTGTACATCCATTATCTTAAATGTTATGAATGCTATGTTATAGGTGTAAACTGTAATGCAACATATCTTAATAAAAAAATAAAAACCTGTTTAAAATTATACCCGTAGGTTAGAGATCTAGTTCAAGTGGCAGCGCGCAGGCCTCGTGTGCGGAAGCCCCTGAATTATACCCAGAGTGCTATACGCTGTACAGCTAGAGCTCCAAGCACGGTGGGGCTAAGCACTGCGGCCAGAGAGTAGGACAGCAGGGAAGGCTCTCGCCTTGCACACAGCTGACCCACATTCGATCCCCTGGATGCCAGAGGTCACCTGATCCCTACCAGGAGTTAAACATCACCAAATGTGGCACCCAAACCAGAAATAATAAAAAACTAAAAATAAATTGAGATAGTATATTGTTAAGTAACAATGTAAAATGCAAAAGCAATTCTAATAAAATAAAATACAGAACAGTAAAATTTTAAATTTCATAACTGTATGTTGAAAATAGCACCGCAGCACTGTCCTCCCATTGTTCATCGATTTGCTCAAGCAGGCACCAGTAACGTTTCCATTGTGAGACTTGTTGTTACTGTTTTTGGCATATCTAATACACCAAGGGGAGTTTGCCAGGCTCTGCCATGCAGGTGGGATACTCTCAGTAGCTTGCTGGGCTCTCCGAGAGAGAAGGAAGAATCGAACCCGGGTTGGCTGTGTGCAAATCAAAGAATTAGTATACTAAAATTCAAATAAGTTATATGCAAAATGAAATGAAACAACTTTTAAATGAAATTATAACAGCAAAGTTTAAAATAACATAGATGGGGCCAGAATGAAAGTATAGTGGGTAGGACATCTACCTAGCATGTGGCCAACCCAAGTTCTATCTCCAGCGACCCTTATAGTATTCCAAGCCCCACAGAGATCCCTGAGGGCAGTGCCAGGAGTAAGCCCTGAGCACTGCTGGGTGTGGTCCAAAAAACAAAAAATGAAAATAAAACTAAAATGAAATAAAATCATATGTAGAATAAAATATATAATGTAAGAAAACATAAGACACAAAATTTTAAAAATTAACCACAAAATAAAATGTAAACAAAATTTAATAAGATAAATTTTACACATTTTTAAAATAAAAATATGTATAGCACATATTTGCACAGCACAGAGTGTCTGCCTTGCATGTGGCCAACCTGGCTGCCCCAGTTCGATTCCTCTGCCCCTCTCGGACAGTCCGGCAAGATACCCAGTGTATCTCGTCCACACAGTAAAGCCTGGCAAGCTTCCCGTGACATATTCGATAGGCCAAACACAGTAACAACAAGTCTCAAAATGGAGACGTTACTGGGCCTGCTCGAGCAAATCAAAGAACAACGGGAGGACAGTGCTACAGTGCTATAATGAAAATATAAATAAAATGATTAAATACAATATAAATATTAAGAAAATAGGTTAAAAATAAAATAAAAATAAAACAAATACATGAAATGACTAAATTTAAAAGTTTCAAAATATACTTAAAATTGAAACTAAGCCAGGAATGTAGCTCATCATTAAAGTACTTGTCTTGTGTTAGGCTCTAGGTTTGATCCCCTAGAGTTAGAAAAGAATAGTATTAAGTAAATTTTTAAATAGATTATAAAAACATATGATAAAGTAAAAAGTAATATTTGAAATACATAAAATTATAGAACAATTGATCATATTAAAATTAAATTAAGTTATATTAAAAAATTAAAACTAGCAAATATGAAACTAAGATTCAAAAGTTAAACAAAATAAATTTTAAAATATAGCCTCAATTAATCAAAAATCTATTAAGTAGGAAGAGTTTCAGGCTACAATCTACCTATAAACTAAATACCAATACGTTATTTTTCCTTATCTCAATTTTATTTTTGCTTGTCTTGCCTAGAGAAAACTTAATCAAAAACACGATGAATAGAAAAAAATTACATGTCAAAGATGCATCAACTATTTCACATACAAAAGGTAATTTGAGTATTTTTTTAATTTAGCAAAACTCACCATAAATTGATGTATTTTATAAAATTCTTCAGTGATAAAATATAACCCTTATAGGAATTTTTTTACACAATACAAAAACAGATTAACATAGTACTATATGTAACTCCCGAGCCTGGCAAGCTCCCCATGACGTATTCCATATGCCAAACACAGTAACAACAAAGTCTCCAATGGAGATGTTACTGGGCCCGCTCAAGCAAATCGTTGATCAGCGGGAGGGCCTTTACTTTACATGTTTTTTAAAAAAATCTTAAAACAACTGAATACAATTCATTGCAGCCACTTGCTAGAAAAACTCACTTTTGAGTAATAAAATAATGTTCTGACTCGGAGAAAGAGTATAGTGGGTAAGGTTCTCACCTTGCTCCTAGCCACATCTGGTTCCACCCCTGGCAAAGAATATGTTTTCCTGAGCCAGGAGTGATCCCTGAGCACAGAAACAGGAGTATGACCATTAAGTGTAGACCCCAAACCAAAAGAATAACAACAAAGTACAGTTTTCTCAGAGCCAGTGAGATGGTCAAAAAGCAGAAGATCAAGCTTCCATTGAAGGCGACAGATCTGTTAATTTCCCAAGGGCAAGGTCCCCTGAGCATTGCCAGGAAGGATGAGCACTGTATAGGAAGATACTCCCCTGCACTACCATGGGTGACTCAAAACAGAAGAAATAAAAGCAGTGTTCTCTTCCAAGTACCTATCTACAACCATCACTAAGTATCCCCTCCCCATAAATGTTCTAGTCATTGCACTGTCCTTCACAGCAATCACAACAGATTAGACAAAGAAGTGATACTGAGTAACTTCATTACCAAAACATTGTAACATTATAATCATCTACCAGCAGTATAAAAAATGCTAGTTTACTAGTGCCTTAAGATTGCTAAAATTATTTGCGTTTCTCTTGGTACTTGGGTACCATTTACCACAAAAGTAATATTGGCACAAATTATGTAAAATGTCAACATGTAGAAGTTTATGTCCACTCCCCCTAATGTATGACGTTTTTACTTTTTGTGTTACTGTTATGGGGTATATCTGGCAATGCTGAGGGCAAGATACTGTTAGCTCAGCACTCAGGAATCACTCCTGGAGGTACTCGGAGAATCATCCCTGACCCCTGGTGTAGGAGTTTTTTACACCCTGGGATCAAATTCAGGTCAGCAGTGTGCAAGGCAAGCACCCTACCCACTGTGCTATAGCTCTGGCCCTCACATCTTTAATATTACAAATGCAAAATATTTCCACAAGACCTTTTATATAACAAATTATGTCCAAAATTGGATGCATCAAAAGTAAAAATGTAACATTCAGCTATCAACCACAATTAAAAAGTGAATGAGGAATTTGTTAAATTTTTTAAAAAGCAGTCTTTTAATACAGTATTGTACATTAACATCACTTTATCTTAACAGACCAAAGGGTCTGTTTGTTGCGTAAATGAAAGACTACTTTCACTTTGTCCAAGAAACTTGCAGCAATGTCTTCATTTCCTGATAACAATTCCATCTGTGTCTTAATTACATTTTCCTATGAAGCATTATCTATATAGTATTTTTTGTTATAATGCCACTAGCTAGAGAAAAGTTAGAGCCCTCCCAATACTAACCACTTAGCACCCTTAAGAGAGTTTAAAGATCCTACATTAACCTTGGCATACTAAGCAGTAGTCCTCTGGATTCTTTCACCATCAACTAGCCTGGAGTTGTTAGAATTTAGTAAAAGAGCACTAGCACGAGAGGAAAACATGCTCCTTTACCTCTATACTAAAAGATAAGGAAGCAAACTATTTCACTGTCTGTACAGCACCTTAATTTCGCTTTCAAAATCTTCCTTGACTTTAAGTCAGAATATAACAAACATTAATAAATGAGTGGCTAGCCACTTTAGACAATGAAAATATTACCGATGTTCAGAATTACCTAAAGGCTTGTCCTTTAGTTCTGGATTTAAGATCATTTCTACTTGTGCGTAAAAGCAATCGAGGTCCACGTGCACTATGACTCTAGATGAACCGTCTGCAGGTACAACTTGATGAACGGCTGCACAAATATGCAAATAATATTTTTAAATGTATTTAATTACTTATTATCTGAGTATTTCCAGTTCCCTAAGACATGAGTAAAAAGCTTCATCTACATTAGAATCCTCTATTCAGACAGCAATTATTTCTCCCTACCCTTCCCACCACCACAACCAATAAATTTGAGGGGGAGGAATGCCTGATCAGTACTGGTAATCCTGCCACCTGGAAATTTATAATTAGAATAAATTCAAACACGCTGAAACTTTAAATGCTCTTAACCAACTGCCAGGCCCGGATGTTGCTCAATGGAACAGCAACTGCTTTGCATACATAAGGTGCTGGGGTCATTCCTGGCAGCCTGAAACAGGAAACAGAAGCTAACGTATAGGTCCCAGAAGATTCCACAGGACAGCAAAATTATCTCTCTGCTACAGGGTGAACGCCCAAGACGTCGGACAGTGCCTGGCATATAACAGACTATCGATCAATTCCGTGTGCTTCAAAGAACAGCAATAAAAGGAAAAACCAATCAAAAAGGAAGCTGGGGGGTTTCGGGAGGGAGAAAAACACTGAGCAACTACTTTTTTTTAAGTGACTCATGCCATGGGCGCAAGCAGTTTTCCACTCTTCACCCCAGTAGAAAAGAGGGTAAACAAAATACCAGGCGGTGCTGCAGTTTAGAGTCTGAAGCTGGAGGGGAATGGCGAAAAGAATTCATAATAGACTCTTAATAGAGTCATTACGCTAATGCTCATTGCTACGTTGGGACGAATAAAGCAGAGTGATGTAAGAAGCCTGCAACTAGCTCAGATCTGAGTGTGTTAATATGGGGGTGGCAGGAAGCGGGGCGACCCAGAGACAGAAAGGGCAGCGCTCGCCCCCACATCTGGGCCGGAGGGGGGGGTGCAGAGGTGGAGCCCCTGCAGCCGACCCTGGTCCGGGGTCTCCGGACCCTGCAAGCTCTGAGACCGCCGCCCTGTGCTGTCAGGGGGTGGGCTTAAAAATCGCTTTTTCCTCGCATGCCGGCTCCAGCGCCCACCCGACGTCGAGGTCGGGACCCTCCCTTCGCCGGGTCCCCGCCAGGGAGCACGAGGCGGCCGGAGCCTGCTCTGGGTGCGACCCGGAAGACCAAAAGGGCCGAGCCGGGCGGGGGCAGCCACGCCCCAACGGACACCGCCGCCGCCTCGGGCGCCCTCCTAACCCGCGCCGCCCCCGCCACCCTGCCCCGCCCTCATTTACACCGAGGAACCGGGCCGCCGGGGTCCCCTGGCACTGCCACACCCCGCTCCGCCCGTAGCATGGCCGGGTCGTGTCCGCTTCCGCGTCGCAGCCGCCTACGTCATCCGGCTCCGCCCCGGATGGCCACGCCCCGGGTGGCTCCGCCCCAAACTGGCTCCGCCTCCGACTTTTCTGCCAACCGCAGCACAGCTTCCGGCCGCTTCCGCCTGGTCTCCAGGGCAACCGAGAACCCACCGCCTCCCCGCCGCTCGGGCCAGTGCGCCTGCGTGGTGCGGCCCCTCCTGTCAGCTCTCCCAGCGAGTTTGGGAAGGGGAAGGAGGGGGGGTGGTCCACGTGCGTAGGAGCCCTCCCGGGTGAGGGTGGCAATGAATGAGAACGCCAGCCCAGACTGCTCTTTTTGTCGTTGCTCTGTTGGGGTTTGGGGTTTGGTTTGGGGGCCACATCCAGTGGTGCTCAGGGTTTACTCCTGTCTCTGTGCTCAGGGATCAGATCAGCCCTGGCGGGGTGTAGGGGCAATGTGGGATGTTGGGGACCGAACCGAGCAAGGCAAACGTTTGCCCACTGTACTGTCTCTCCCTGCACACATTTTAACTTGATTGGCCAAGATGCCACTCTGGATAAACTGTTAGTAAAATTGCTAATCCTTAGGTACAGGTATTTATGGTGGGGGAGGGAGAGTGAGCTAACGGTATGAGCAAGCAGCTTCAGGAACTGGTGTGATTAAGGGCTGGGGCCCTTTGTTGTGTTACTTTGTAGGTAGACTGGAAGGAAGTAGCTGGACCTCTGAATTTAAAAAAAAAATAAATGAGGGACCTGGAACCATAGCACAGCGGTTAGGGCATTTGCCTTGCATGCCGCGGACCAGGGCTCCATTCCAAGCATCCCATGTGGTCCCCCAGTACCGCCAGGAGTAATTCCTGAATGCATGAGCCAGGAGTAACCCCTGAGCATCGCTGGGTGTGACCCAAAAAGCAAAAAAAAATAAAATAAAATAAAATAATTGAGGGAAGGAGGTGTGCAGGGGATCGAACCCAGAACCTCGCACATGCAAAGCAAGTGACCTCCTGCTGAGCTGAATACCAATTCCTAAACCCTGAATGTTTTATCCCTAAACTTGTGTTTCTCAGCCTTTTTGGGGACAATTGCGTCCTTCCCACACTTAACTGCTGTGCCACCTCTCTCATAGCATGATCTAAGATTTACATGAGTTTTACTTGTTGCCCTCTTAAAATATCCTGGTACTACACAGGGGGCTGAGCCCTGGGCTAAATCAAATAAGGTTTTGATATAGGAAGCTTGTAATCAGATAAAATCTCCTTTTCAGGCCGAAAACTCCCTCCCTCCTCCCTCAATTTGCTGTGGCTTTAGGCAGAATACACAACTGCCCTGCTCAGATTTCTCAGTGTGGAAAAAAAACCAATTCTTCTGGATTGGAATAAAAAAAAAAAAGTAAATCATAGATTTATACCATGGGGGAAAAAAAGACCTTTGAGTGTCTTGAAATTAAATGAATGGATAGATGAAAACTGTTTTGTGCTTTAATATTTGAATGTACAATGTACATAAAGTACTTGACACCTGTTTAAATGCTTTGTGTGCCCATGCGGATATATTCACACACTTTTTTTTTTAACCTGATTCTACTGTGTTGGGAGGGGGGGTTGTTTCCAGGCATACCCAGTGATACTCAGGAAGTGTTCCTGGCTATGCACACAGGAATTCAAGGGGTGCTACAGGAGCCATATAGGATGCTGGAGACTGAACCTGGGTCTACCATGCAAGGCAAAGGCCCTACCATTGTACTAGCTCTCAGGTCCCTGATTCTACTGTTTTACATAGACTATGAGACCCTTAAGGAATCCTTTTAAAGAATGTTTTGATTCATCTGTGAAGGAGAAGAAATTACAGCTGAAGCTCAGTGGTTAGGACACCAAGTTTTCTTCTTTGGGTATTTTTACTAAAAAAATATCTGGACTAGTTCTCTATAAGACTCCAGTCTAAAGTCTTAAAAGCAAATTCAGAGCGATGCAAGTTTTTTTTGTGAGTGCTGTTTGGATGAGTCAAAATAAGTTCCTTCTGAAAAACAAGTGCCTCATTTTTTTGTTTGTTGTTTTGGTTTGGGGGTAGTTTTTTTTTGGAGGAGCGGTGGGTTTGATTTTGGGGCCACACCCAGCTTTGCTCAGGCCTTGCTCCAGGCTCTGCAGACCTCAGGAGACCATTTGGGGGTGACAAAGTTCAAACCCAGAACAGCCGTGTGGCTGTGTGCAAGACAAGCGCCCTGCCCTCTATACTATTGCTCTAGCCCCTAAGGTGCTTCTTTGTTCAGCACTTTTTGGTCCTTCAGTGAGTCCATTTACTTGTAGAAAAAGATATTTTTAATTCTTGCTGAGAATGAAAAAAAAAAGTCCAAAGTACTTTAGTGACTTGAGAATGCACTTTTATAGTGAGAGCCCTAACCTCACTAACACTCAGCCCCGGGTTCAACATCACATGTAAGCTAGCCCTCCTTGATGGGTTTAGCTTATTTTCCTGCCAGTTGTGAACTTTTACCAAAAGAGGCATGGAGACTTTAACACTACAGGGAAACAGGACTGACAGTGTAAGTTTGCAGTCATGTAAAGCCCCACACTTAGAAGTCTCCCACACTTGGGCTAATTCTCTGCTTTTTCACTCTTGAAAGTCTTCTGTTTGATCGGTTGGTTTTGGGTTTTTCAGCTACATGCAGTGGTGCTGAGGGGCTAGTTCTGGCAGTGCCAGGGATTGAACCAGGGTTGGTTACATGTGATGCGATCAACCTTAACCCCTGCACTGCCTCTCCAGCCCTGACCGAAGAACTTAATATTTGAAGAAAAAAGATATATTTCCATGTTGCACAAGACCTTACAAAGTATTTGCCCAGCGCTGGAGACAGAAAAGAATACCTCTATGTGAGGCACAGGGCTGAGAGCTTGGGATTATCTTGTCCACTTCAAGGGTCTTTATTTTTATTTTACCAAGGATGAAGCAGGCAGTGGGAGACACTAAGGTGCTTACCCAAGATTATGGATCTAATGATGGTATATCCTCCTTTGAGAATTTGGAGGTGAGGGGGCCACACCCAGCTGTACTCAGGGCTTACTCCTGGCTCTGTGCCCAGCAGTCTCTTGGGGTGGTGTGTGGGAAACCATATATGGTGTAGGGGATTGAAACCAGATCACTGCATGAAAGCTATATTATCCCTCTGGCCTGTAGAGTTTTTTAGAATGAAGAATTCATTGGTAGCATTTCTTTCTGTTTGGTGTTTGGGGAACCACACCAATGATTCTCAGGAAACTATGTGTTGCTAGGGATCAAACCCAGGGCACCAACATGCAAAGTGGAGGACAGCACTGTAGCACTGTCCTCCCATTGTTCATCAGTTTGCTCAAGCAGGCATCAGTAATGTCTCACAACAAATTGTGAGAGTTGTTACTGTTTTTTGCATATTGAATACATCACAGGGAGCTTGCCAGCCTTTGCCATGTGCACAAGATACTCTCGATAGCGTGCCGGGCTCTCCAAGAGGGGCAGAGCAATCGAACCCAGGTCAACCATGTCAGCCGTGTGCAAGGCAAATGCCCTACCCGCTGTGCTATTGCTCCAGCCCATATACATATGTATATACATACATGCATATATATGGAGATAAAAAAATAAAATTTACATGAACTAGGATGTGTTCTTTGTTGTATGACGTATTATGATTTTTTTTAATTCTAGTTAGCCCTTCCCCCAGTTTTAATTAATAGGCACTCACCTAGGATAATTTCAGAAAATAAATATTTTGAATCTGGTTATAATTGTATATGTGAGTTCCAAATGAGAAAAAACAATTGCAAAACAAGATAAACCTATGTAATTAAGAAAAATTGTGGTTGAAACAGTTATGGTTTCAAAAATTATGAAAGAATTGCAGCTTGGGGCTGGAGAGATAATCCAGAGAGTAGGGTGCTTGCTTGCCTTGCATCTAGTCGACGACCTGGGTTTAATACCAATATCACCTATGATTCTCCCGAACCCTGCCGGGAGTGATCCTTGAGACCAAGTCCAGGAGTAACTGTGTAACTCTGAGCACCACTTAGGTGTGGTCCCAAAAACAAACCAAAAAAAAAAAGGAAAGAAAGAAATAACTATGGTTTCTAAGGCAGCATGGGGCTGCAGTGTATGTCTAGCAGATAAAGACATGAGGGTGCTGTAGAGCTTCAGAGGTGAAGCTGTTGTGAACCTACGTAATGAACAATGATAAGTAGGTGCTTGTGTCAGTGAAAAGGGGAACAGCAGCCCATGCCTGCTTCTCTCCTCCTGGCTAACCTGAGCACACAGAACGAGACCCAAGAGCTTCAGTAAGAAGAATGTCAGTCTATGTTTTCTGTTGGTGGCTGCCAAACGAGAAGTCAACCATGGGTGGAAAGGAACCGTTTGCATTGATGAAGGCCCCGCTGGGCTGGTTTTGTAAGATCTTCCGCAGGAGCAGAGGTGCTTATTTTTTTGTTCCCTCCAAGAGGAACTTTGCAACCAGGTCTGGAGGGAGACACTGGGGCAGAGGGTTCTAGAAGGCGGTGCTCTGCGCTGGAGGCAGCTATCGGGGGACAGACAGGAATGTCCTCCAACGCACAGGACAGCCCTTCACTCCACAGGAATATCCAGCCCCAGGGTCATTGGGGGCAAAATTAGGAACTCCCTGACCTTGGAGGGTTTCCGTCATCCAGCTTGCTTCCTCAGCTCAGTTTCTAAGTCTAATGAATTATGAGACATGTGCACTGTGTGTGTATGTGTGTGTGTGTGTGTGTGTGTGTGTGTGTGTGTGTGTGTGTAGATGCAGTGCTGGGAGTAGGAAGAGCAGCTTCATTTGTAGCAATGTTCAGGCTATCAGGGTCACCTCTCGTGGGTTGGGGGAAGGGAAGCACCCAAGATCAGGCCCAGGACAAGGCATTTCCTACCACTGAGACACTTTGGATATGCTTTTAATTTTATATATATGTGACAATTTTAGAAAAAGAGACTATAAGTTATTTCTGACTCATTATTTC